CAAAAAACTTGGCTCAACATAGGTACAAGCAACGACAAAAGTTCTCAGAATCGCTTCGACTTGCAACCATCAACGTAGGATCTTTGACGGCGCGACACCGCGAACTGGCAGATCTTCTTAAGAGACGCAGAGTGGATGTCGCCTGCATTCAAGAAACCAGATGGAAAGGGCAAAAGTCGCGCGATATAGGAGACGGATTCAAGCTCCTATACAACGGAGTAAGTAATGGCAGAAACGGCGTAGGGATAGTTGTCTGCGAAAGACTGAGAAAGAAAATAACTAACGTTGATAGAGTAAGTGACCGCCTTATGAGCATCAGGATTGAAAATGGGAAGCAGATTTTACGAGTAATCACTGCCTACGCACCACAAACCGGTTGCGGTGAGGTTGAAAAGAATGTGTTCTGGCATAAACTCGATGATTATATCCGATCTTTACCATCAGAAGAGATGCTCCTGCTTGGAGCAGATCTCAACGGCCATGTCGGAAAGCAAAGGAGTGGCACAGAAAAATGCCATGGAGACCATGGATACGGAGTACGAAATGAAGAGTTTTGCATTCTTGAGTTTGCTACAGCTCATAACTTAGCGCTGGCAAATACTTATTTCATAAAAAAAGACAGTCATTTGATTACGTATGTCAGTGGAGGCAGAAAGTCACAAATAGACTTTTGGGCAGTAAGGCAGAGTGAACTCAAGTATATGAAGAACAGCAAGGTCATTCCAGGTGAAGAATGCATACCGCAGCATAAGCCACTTTTACTGGATTTAAATATTCCATCCGACAGGCAAAGATGGAAAACGACAGAGCAAAGAGAGCACATCAAATGGTGGAAGCTCAAAGAAGACCATAGCGCCACAGTTGCATTAGAATCTACTCTACCTGAGTTGAAAGAAGATGTAGAACAGTCCTGGGCAAATCTAAAGAAGAATGTTCATCAGGTAATTGGAGATATACTAGGGCGCACGAAACCAGGAAGACCTAGACTCAACAAAGAAACATGGTGGTGGAACGAAGAGATTCAGCTTGTGATAAGAAATAAGAAATCAGCTTTTAGAGTATGGCAAAGAACAAGGACAGAAGATGCTCATCGGAAATATCTAGAAGCGAAACGTACAACAAAAAAGAGAGTAAGGGAAGCGAAAGAAACGTATGTAACGGAGTTGTACAGAAAATTGCATACTTCCGAAGGTGTACGTGAAATCTACCGTTTGGCCCGAAGAAGGACTGACGCCATGAAAGACTTAGAGCACTTCTACAATATTAGAGACGAACAGGGGAGGATGTTGAAAGGACCAGAAGATATAAATAAAAGATGGCGAGCACATTTTGCAGAGTTAGCGTCCGCGAGCTGCGAATGTACATCTACCATAAAAGCTGAATCAGTTCACGGACCAGTGCCAGCCATTACAGAAGATGAAGTCCGCGTCGCTACTTCGAAGACAAAGAACGGCAAAGCGACAGGCCCAGACGATGTCTGCAACGAATTCTGGAAGAAGTGTGGACAAAATGGAATTTCGTGGCTAACGCGACTACTAAACCAAATAGTGAGAATCAAGAGAATGCCTAGCGACTGGTATAAAAGTATAACGATACCAATATGGAAAAATAAAGGCGACATAGCCGACTGCTCCACGTATCGGCCCATCCGTCTCATTAGTCACACGTTGAAAATATTCGAAAGAATATTGGAGACACGACTCCGAGATATAGTGGAGCTTGCACCCAATCAATGCGGATTTTTGAAAGGCTGCGGCACAACTGATGCAATTCACATCGTTAGAACACTTATGGAAAGATGTCGAGAAAAACAATGTGAATTACATGCTGCATTCCTGGATTTAGAGAAAGCATTTGACAAGGTGCCACATAACATGATATGGTGGGCTCTACAGAAGCACATAGTGCCAGAGGAATACGTTCGGTGGGTAAGAATGATCTATCAAGGTGCAACCAGCTATGTAGAGACAGCAGCAGGACGATCAGAGGATTTCCACATAAACATTGGCGTACATCAAGGATCCGTCCTTTCACCCCTCCTCTTCATAATTGTTGTTGACGCGATAGTTAGAAATTTTATACGTCAACCCCCATGGGCACTCATATACGCTGATGATGTGCTCCTGATGGCAAGAAGCAGGAAGGAGCTGGAGATGGACGTACAGATGTGGAAAACCCAGCTTGAACGACATGGTTTCAAGGTGAACATTCTGAAAACGGAATACATGGAAGTGGGTTTCCAAACGCCTGGAACTATTCAAATGGGAAACACTCTGATAAAGAAGACTACCTCTTTCAAATACTTAGGAAGTCGCATTTCTGCGGATGGCACGCTAGAAGACGAGATATGCGACAGAATAAACGCAGCTTGGTTGAAGTGGAGAGACCTCACAGGAATTATGTGCGACAAGCGGATGCCAATATACCTAAAATCGCAAATCTATCGTACGATGATCCGACCGACTGCGATGTACGGCTGCGAATGTTGGCCTATCACGCACAACGAAGAGCGAAAGCTTAGTACGATGGAAACAAAGATGCTGCGATGGACTTTAGGCATCACAATGATGGACCATGTCACAAATGACACCGTACGAGCCATGATGAAAGTCGCCCCAGTTGTCAAAAAATTGCAGGAGAGACGACTTCAATGGTACGGCCATGTGAAAAGAAGTGAAGAAGACCACATTACCAGATCGAGCACATCAATAGATATATCGGGAAAAAGACCAAAAGGAAGACCGAAATTGAGATGGTTAGATAAAATTAAAGCGGATCTAAGAGAGCTCAAGCTAGAAGAAGAACAAGCTTTGAATTGCAAGCTGTGGAAGAGACTCACAAGAGCAGCAGACCCCGAATAGAAAAAAACTTTTTTCTTTCATTGGGAAAATGCAAGGATAATAAATAAATAAAATAGAGAACCAGTGCGTCACCTCTGCTTCGGAGAGGCTCGACCCTACTTTCTGTATGCCTTACTCATCTCAGCATAATAATGACATTGAAACTCGCCGCGCCATGCGGGCTATCACGAATGATTTGTAAACAACTACTCATTCCTAGAGCTTTTTCGTGTGAGATCGGTATTTTCGCGTGTATGAAACTTCTCCCAAAAGAATAAATGCAAATTTGAATCGGCTCTTGGGTCTTTACGGCTTAAAGGCAGTGTGCAGGCAGATTTAGGCGCATGGGTTTTCCGCCTGAAAATTGATGAGGGGGTCCTAAGTAAGGCCCTGCCCAAGAGGCAGCGCAAATTGTTCATTCACGGCTGAGAAATCCGTCCTTGAAAAACCCGCACCTGCGCCGTGACCGTAACCCGAAAACGACTTCGCTCACTTTAACACTACCTTCGCGCTGGGACCCATCGCAAGTATTACGGTCACGGCGCAGCCGCGGAGTGTTTGAGGATTTATTTCTCAGCCGTGAATGGACGATTTGCGCTGCCACTTGGGCAGTGCCTTAGTTAGGACCCCCTCGACGATTTCCAGGCAAAAAATCCCTATGCCCAGATTTGCCTGGACACTGCCTTTAATAGTCGCCATAAGAACAGTAAACACCGTGGGCTACATCTCTGTGCATAAATCGCCTCAACAGGTAAATTCTTGGCAATTTGAACATTCACGCAATCAACTTTTTTTGGCGCCACTTTGTTAAGTAATGAACTTTTGTTCACTTTATTGGGCTAAAGTCCATGGCTCGCACATAAACTTGTCAAAAATATTCATGACCCTGTAAAAAGTGGTGCTACAGGCACAATTTTGCTGTCTCCAGAATCCAAGCGGATCCGCTTAAAGCGCAGTTTTTGAGGGATCCACTCATCGGATCCGCTCGTGCTTTTGCATAATGGACTTTCATGCTAGTAGCATAAGCCGTCCAAAATTTGGGCCCAGGGCGTGGCTGGAACACCCTGTACGAATTTCGTAACGGACAGACAGACACACACACACGTAGAAAAAGACGTGAACATCTTTAGCCGCTTATTTAAGTTATGATGATAAGGTGTGCCAGTAGCAAAGATCAGGGCCCGGCACAGATGGTTTGGGGTCAAACTGGACTTCGTTTTTGAGGTTAGAAGCAAAGGGGGTATCGTTTTTATGAGGTCTTGGAGGAAGCGCGAAAGAAACAACGACAAACATGTCAGGTTTTACAAGTTGAACGTGTTCGTTCGCAAGCGCGCGAATTTCAAACGCAGGACTCAAACAAACAAATGGCTTGTTTACAACGCACAAACAACCTTATGACCCCAAATTTGGGCTATGTGCATACAATATTGCTCCAAAGCACATTATGTAAAAAGTTCTGAAAATTTATGTGTCCTAATATCCGTTCCGGATTTGTTGGTTTCTGGACCAACTGTAACGAATTTATGTTTTTAGGTTGTCGTTAAGCTAAGAGTGGTACCGTAGCTGGACTTTTCAGTAACGCTTACTTCCTATTCTTTCAACCGGCATACATAAAACTCAACTAGCTTCCTTACTAAGCATTTATCAGGCAAATATAAACAAAGTATAGAATATAAAGGGTGTAGCGGTAGACGGCAAAACAGGGCGGGATAAAAGTATAAGAATAATTAGAGAAGAAATTAGATAGCGGATAGATAAGTGGAAGATAGATAGGTTTGAGATAGAGGGTAGTCAAGCAGGAGCTAGTGCTCCGGCTCAACCTTACATAAACATAACAATATAATATAATACGTGAATAAATACGAGGCAATTATACGAAGGGGAATAATAGAATAAACAAATGATTAGAGAATAAATAAATATGGAGGGCGGGTGATTAAAATGAGGGGGGGGGGGGCGGAGATTCGGAGACGATCTTGTTGAAGAGGCAGCTGCAAAGCTGCCTCAAGTCCGAACCTCTCGTGGGCGGGGCATATTGCTTTATATAGCCCCGAGGCGAGCTTTGAGGCGGGGCGAGGAGGGCGAGGAAGATGGATTAATAGCGCAGATAGTTGCGCTTTTCCTACATGATTTTCTTTCGGAAAGTCCCGGTCCCCGGGACTAGAAAAATTTTACAGGTGCGTCTTGGCAAATGGCGGTAACGTGGCCAGTGGCATTGCAACGGAAGCACATTGGGTTTTCTGTGCATTCTTTTAAGGGATGGTCTTCGAGGCAGCGAGAACAGAGCCTGTATTTTTTAAGAAGTATGCGGGCTCTAGTAAGGAAACTCATGGGTGATTGACAGTCCCGCGTACGATGGGTAGTTTGATGACAGAGGAGACATTGAGGTGTCATGATTGGGTTGAAACAGCGTCGTTGTGTGGGTCCACGGTATTCGTGTTTCAACTTATAATAGAATTGACGTTCGTCTCGCGGCGGAGGTCTTGGAGAAAGGCATAGTTTGATTAAGCTTGGGATAGCTCCAGTAGGTTTCTCCCAGTTGCGCGGTGGTGGAGTAGGAGTGCACAGTGACCTTTTGATAAGAGGTTTGGGTGTGGTGAGGAGTCTTCTACGGCGATAAAAGCGTTGAGAGGCTGGTTCTGGCATATGGATGGCTATAGTGGAAGGAGTGGTTCCTTGCGGAGGGGTTATGGTACGGTCAGGATGGTTAGCTTGGGAAGGAGTGATGCCTTCCGGAGGATTTGCGATATTGCCAGAAGGGCTTGTGATATTTCCGAAGTCGTTAATTTGGGAAGGGGAAAAAACGGAATAGGATACAATCGAGTTTGATTCAGATATTATGGGTACAGCGAGAAGAGTTTCAGCAGAAGAAATGTCCCCTGGGGACGTTACCTTCAAGTTTATGGTGGTATCAAAAGGAGTAGGAGTGGGAGAACGGGAACGGGTTAAAGAAGGAGAAGGAGAGGAAGAAGAAGAAGAAGAAGAAGAAGAAGAACGAGAGTACGATAGCACTGGTGAATGCTGTGTGTGACAAGAACTTGACGACGATGAGGAGCGGGATCTCTTGCGACTGAAGCGTTTGGAGACGATGGGAAACATGTTGGTTGACATCTGAAATTGTTTCCCGGTTGAAATCCTCGATTTTGAACGTTTAACATGTTTAACACGCTATTCTGGGCGGTAGCGTGGTAGGGGCGCTCTAATGCGGCGAGGGTTTTTTTTTTCCCTTCGCTTGTTGTTTTTTTTTCTTTTTCTTTTCTTGGCTTCGGTTTTGCTGAGTTTTTTTTCCTTTTTTTTTTGAAGATTATGTTTGCTTTTGTTTAGCATGCGCGCTCTCATTGGCCTTGATGGTGATGCCAATCTATCTGCTGGTGCGCGCATGCCGCAATCGGGCTAAAAGAGAAAAGGTAGAGCTGGTTATGCCGGCTATTAGAGAAGATAGAGCCGGTTGTGCCGACTATTTCCATTATCAGGGAACATATATATAAATATGCGGGTATCGTTGGTGCTATTAGACTGTTATCTGTGAACAATGGCGATATATATATATGTGTACTATTAGGTTCGTTATTTTTTTTAGTCTAGTATGTTTGATATTACGTGTACATGAAGTTTTATTGGCTGGTAGTGATTTGTTTCGAGTGCGGGTTGATGACTATTGTGGACTTGTGCTTTCGATCAATGATGTTGCAGGAGAGTATGGTTTCAAACGATTCATGTGGATGGTTCGTAAGCGACGGCCATCTCGGATGGTGACGTTTGGCCGTTCAATATCCACAATGGGAAAAGGACCTTCGAATCTAGGTGCGAGTTTTGAGTCTACATCTTTTCTTATCAACACTTCTTGTCCAATTTTATAACTACTTGGGTTTACACGTTTTCTAAGGTCGTAGTGATGCTTCTGTATGGTTTGAGAGGTGGTTAGGTTTTGGGTTACATCCTTTGAAACATTTTGGAGGGTGGAAGTTAATTGACCCACGTAGTCATCTTCATCAATAAATGTTCTTGAGGGTAGTTGTAGGGCTAGGCGGAAGGCGTTATTAGCTTCTCTTCCGTGAGTGATAAAGAACGGGGTATATCTTGATGATGCATTTTCGGAGGTATTATACGCGTGGGTTATAACATGAATTACGTCATCCCATTGGTCTTCTTTTTGGGATATAGCAGTGGCTATCAGTTCTTCGATAGTTTTATTCGAGCGTTCTACCTGACCATTGCTTTCGTGATGGTAAGGTGTACTAGTGTTATGGGTAACGTTGAGTACTTTTAGTGTATTTCTGAAAATATCGCTCATATAGTTATTTCCTTGATCTGTTACAAGTATCTCTGGAGGACCGAAACGGCTCACTACTCTGTTGACGAATATGTCCGTAGTGGTGATTGCCTGTTGATCTGGTATGGGTTCGGTGATCACTAGTTTAGAGAAAGCGTCAACAAAGACGATGATGAATTTGTTTCCCCGTAGCGTTAGTGGAAGGGGTCCTATGACATCGGAGTGAACGCGCTGAAACGGTCGTTTAGGAACTTCAAACCGATCCAGCGGTTCATTTGTGCGATAAACGGAGGGATCTTTCCGTAGTTGGCAGATGGGACAAGATTTTATAAATTCGCTGATGTCACTGGACATCTTGTTCCAGATTGCAAGTTTGCTTATGGTTGCTTTGGTCTTTTGGATTCCTAGGTGAGCGGTGCCAAAGCGGGATTCGTGGACTTGTTTGATTAGCACTTTCTTGATGTTGGAATCTTCAGGAAGCACTACCTGGGGATCTTGATAGACTTTCTCTGGTAGTTTATACAATATATCGTTGAGGATGAGATATTCGCGAGTGTGCGGGTTAGACTCGCCTAGTTCTATGGCCTGTTTATAGGACAGTATCCAGGGGGAATTTCTTTGTTCCTCTCTGATCTTTTCAATGAATTCTGGGGAGGATAAATTGATATTGGGACTGTCTTCGGTAGAGATGGCGGCTACTTGGGGCGGGTGCCTTGACAGCGTATCGCAGAGAATGTTGGCTTTTCCGGGCCGATATACGATAGTTATGTCAAATTCTTGTAGGATTACTTGGTACTTCGCTAGTCTCCCAATCAAATCTTTCCGATGTAGAAGTGCTTTGAGCGGGGCGTGGTCTGTGATTACGGTGCATTTGGCTCCATCAATGTATGGGCGAAACTTTTGCACTGCGAAGACTACTCCTAGCGCTTCTAGTTCTATGGCGGGGTATCGGGATTCATGACTATTTAGGGTGCGACTGGCGTAAGCAATTATTCTTAGTTCGTTATCCTGTTCTTGTTTTAGGACTCCGGCTACTGCTTTGCCGCTGCTGTCCGTTTCGATGACGAAGGGCAATCCTAGCCTTGGTGCGACCAGGATTGGAGCAGTGGTGAGTACTTGTTTTAATTGCTGCATCGCGTTTTCACACTCGGGGGTCCATATAAATGGTGCGTCTTTCTTAGTTAATGCGGTAAGGGGTGAGGCGATAGCCGCAAAATTATGGACAAATCTACGAAAGAATGAGCACATTCCTAGGAAGGCTTTGATATCGGTGGGATTTTTGGGAGTTGGATAGTCGTCAATTGCTCGGGTTTTCTCTGGGTTAGGTCTTATACCTTCTTTACTTAACACGAAACCTAGGAATTTTATTTCCTTCTGAGCAAATTCGCATTTAGAAGCTTTGAGCTTCATTCCGATCTGTTCGATTTTTGTGAGCACCTCATCTATATCGTTGAGGTGTTCGTCGGGGGTTTCGGAAGTGATTATTAAGTCATCAATATAGATAAAAACTCGAGCTCTGAGATGTTTTTTGAATTCATCCATTATACGCTGGAAGGTTGCGGGGGCGCCTTTTAATCCCATTGGCATTCTGATGTACTCGAATGCTCCGAGAAAGCACGCGAAAGCGGTTCTCTCGCAATGGGTTTCCTCTAGAGGAATTTGGTGGAAGCCTTGTTGAAAATCCAAGGAGGAGTATAGGCAGTTGTTTGCGCATAGATCGATTATATCCTGGATATTAGGGAGTATGGATTGTTGGGGTTTGGTAATAGCGTTTAGTCCTCTGAAGTCTATAGTGAATCTCCATGAGGTTGCGTCTCGTTTGCGTACTAAGACTATAGGGGCACAAAATGGTGATGCGGATTCGCGAATTATACCGTCTTTGAGCATTTAAGTGATTTGCTGCTCTATTTCGAGTCGTTTTTCGAGTGGGACACGGTATATTTTCCTAGTTGGTATTGGGGCATCTTCTATGAGATCGATGCGGTGTCGTATTGGGCCGTTATAATGTCCTAGGTGTCCATCAGGTCCTACAAAGGCTTGAGAATGCTGGCGTACTATGGCTAACAAATGTTCTTTTTGCTGCGATGTTAGCGCGGACTTGGTTAGGTTTATTTCGGAAGCGATATCATAGGTTGGAGCCCAGGGAATGGGAAAGTGAGGAATCCTTTCTTCCCAGTTTGCTTCGGGAGGTATGTACTCGCCTTGAACTGTGAGAATCTGTTCGAGTGGAGAGGATACGGGTGTAGCGTGAGCTATTTTCATACGACCATAAAGCTTTATATCGGTGTTGGATGGGTTTAGGATGTTCACGAGGCATGCCCCGTTCGGGTTGGGGCTCACTAGAGATCGGCCAACAACATACAGAAGGTCTAGATCTCTGTGGTTGTCTTCAATTATAAAGTCAAATAGGTTGCTGGGATCGTAAGGATCGATGTACGCCGGCACAATAGACGAGGATCTTTTTAGCAGAATGGTCGTTTGGGAGAGTCGTACATCATTGGGTTTGACTTCAAGGAAATTAATGGCGTTTATTTGGACCATGTCGTGCGCATCGCTACCAATCGTAAGTAGGTTATTATGTAGGTCTATAGTTACTTTGAGACCTAATTGGTTCAATTTCTTGATGAAATCAGTTCCTAGAAGAACTGGCGCTGGGCACTGGTAATCTTGCGACACCAGGAAGCGATGTTGTATAATATGGGTTCCTACTTGGACATTTACGATTACGGATGCTAAGAGCTCTATTTGAGTTCCATTGGCGGCTTGCGCTTTTACGTGATTGTTGTCGATGTTGACATTGGGTCCTAGCGCGTACAGCGTGGACTGTTTCATATAAGATATTGTAGCGCCGCTGTCGATGAGCGCTGGAGTGGAGAAACGGTTGAGGGTTATCCTTACGTATGGCAATGGACTTTTGATGGAATTGACTTGCGAAAAGATAGAGTAGATGCGTGGCACGAAAAGGGAATTTGGTTGACTCCCGTTGTTTTGCTCTTCCATAAGAGCATTTATTTCGTGCTGACGCCTAGCTAGTCGTTTCCTCGAGAGACTGCTAGCTAAGTCTACCATGGCGGACGCGGCAGAACTGGAGGCTTTGCGTATAAAATAGATCTTCACGAAGCAGACACAACATGCAATGAGAATGATGATCACCAATGTGGGAATGGTTACCCAGGGTAAGAGCGAAATCATGGACCATCTAATGCTTTCTACACCGGCGGTTAATTTGTCGGTTGTTTTGGTGTAGATAGAGGACAGAGAATCTTTCAAGGAGTTCCCAGCGTCCTTGATTTTGAGCATGGTATCTTCTATGATTCCTCGCTTTTGTAGTCGATTTTGTAAGACTGCGTATTCTTGCTGCAGGTAATCGACTTGCAATCTAGTGGTCGGGGCGTAGTTTTGTATGAGGTGATGGTATATAGGCGGCGGGTTGAATAAGAACGGTTTTGCATTTATGTTTGGAAGTACATTTGGTGGTAATATTTGTTGGACTAGGCTAGGGTCGACATTGGAGATATAAGGACAGGGCATTGTTGTCGCGGTTTGGACCAAATCTCCTGTTGCAGGGATTGCAAACCACAGTTGATCTTCAACCAAGACGGGTAGAAGATCATAGCAGGTGTTATTCACTTGGTGATTTGAAAAGGTTTGGGTTGGTTCAACTTTCTGCATCTGGTCACTAGGAGTTCGTTGTCCGATAGGGTGGCGACAACGTTCGTATCTCTGAGCAGTAGTCGTGCTGCCCAAGTGGGATCGACATGACTGAGCTCGTGAAGTCGTTGGTTATTTAAATATTGTCTTATACAAATGTTATTGAACGTTTGTCGTAGGGTATTTTCATGATAGTGAAATTGCATTGACGGTTGAGGATTAAGGTTTCTGGATTCGGGTTGGTCGTCTTCGGCTAAGGGTGGCCGAGGTGATCTATCGGGTCGCGTTTCTGGGGTTTGGAAAGATGGCGGGTGATAGAATATTTCATAAACTGATGTTGGCGTCGCTATTATTGGCTTGATCGTGGGGGTAGTTGTAGGATTTGTAGGGTAGGTGAAAGTTGTGGGATAGCTTGGGAAGGTTTTGGTAGTGGCTCGATTAGGAGGGAATGTGTGAGGCAGTGGTGGCGGAGTGCGTGCAATTGCGTCTATAGTTTTTGTCTCGTGTATAAGATATACAGGGCGGCTACTCTTGGCGCTTCTGTGGTAGTTGTCGTACTGGTAGTAGGTGGCCAAGTTAGATGTACAGGAGCAACTATTCTTGGTGTATCTGTGGTTGTTGTCGTATTAGGAACAGGTGGCCAAGTTCGTGAGGTACGAGGGGTAATAGTGGACGTGTTCGGAATGACAAAAATTGGCTTCTTGGTGGGTATGTAAGCCGGAAGGGTTCTTTTTGTCGTTATCATAACCGGTGGATAGAACGTAGAAGGCCTTGTGACCGGAGACGAGGTAGTTTTGCTAGGTAGAGGTTCTGGGTGAGCGATGGGTTCTAAACCTAAAGTCGTGATGTCGACTTTATCCAGATCTTTCTCTCGAAAAAATGGTATGGGCTTTTCTCTGAGTTTGCTGGGGTCTCGACCAAGGTCAATTCCAAGTACTCCGAACTCGCGTGATAGGTATGGATCGAATATATCAGTTATACCTTGTTCTAGGTCTTGTTTTAGTGCGAGCTCAGCGTAATTTAGAGGTCTTCTAGTTTGTATATCTTCAAGGAAGGCAAGCTGGTGGTATCGGTATTCTGCATAGCGAATTGTTCGCAGGACGCTTATGCGGGTATTTTCGAGAGCGTACATCCTACTTCGTTGGGAAAAATCTTGGTTGGTGACTTTCCATAGTTTAATTTCCCTTAGTAGTCGGTGATCGGTTATAGGTTGGGTTTCAAATTGGGGTAACCTTTGAAACTCGGCGGTGCCGAATAATTTTCGCGTCAGGAGTAGGGTTCGCGCAGAAACTATTTCAAAGCGAGAGCGACGGTTTTCGTTGTCGACCAGATATTTGACGCCGCGCCTTTTCCTTTGTTTAGCGGAAGTTTCCACGATGAAATCCTGGATCATCGTTTGAGATGGAATGTCTGGGAAGGAAAGTATGTGATTTGAGGTAGTAAGGTAGCTATTTGGTAGGTTACAGTGCTGTAGCAATCGCAAGCGGAGGAGGTGGTTGTTGCTTAATTCAAAGGCTAACTCATGGTCGGGTACGAGGACGTACTTTATGCTAACCAGAGCGTTGAATTCTCCGATAGCATTATATTTGCACCAAGGGATCACTTCCATGGGTTCCCATATTACCATTCCGGTGGGGGTATTACAGTTTCCTTGCGCTAGTGAGCAGTTGTTTAAATCTCCAAAGTACTGAGCATGGCTTTACCATTTAGGGACGCTATTTGTCCTTCTTCGATGGAATAGAGGCTTCGCAAATATAGGTTCGTACCCCAGAGCGGGAGTGAGGTCTTTTCGTCCTCAATTTCTTCCGTTACTTTGAGTCCAGGGGCAATTTCAGTAAGGGTGTGTCCTTTGATGCTATTGCTACTTTTCCCAAGTTCACATTCTTCTGCTGGGATTGCGAGACGTTGGCGGCTGACTACAGTTCGTCGCGTTCTTATATAGAGGATGTTATGTATGGAGACTTGAATAACATCCCGGTAGCATTTATAGGCAGGGATTAGTAACGGGTTAGTATTTTCGCCAAAAAGCTGCACCGTGGTTTCGAGCAGGTGTTCATCCGGGGTGACGCTGCATTGTATTAGTTTGGGAAGAGAAAGTGCATTTGGGAAGGTACTGCTTCCGCAGACCTGATAGGGCAGGATTGGAGTTATCAAGCAGGTGGCTATTATGGCTAGGATGCATAGAAAATTCACGTTTTGGGCTGCCGAAGGCATTCGGGCCGACTGCTGGTAATATTGGGTCGTATTTGGCGCCGGCGATTGGTAGTATTGGGTCGTGTTTGGCGCCGGCGGTAGTGCAGGCTGATTTATGGCGTATGGCGCTGGAGGTGCATACGCCGTGTAAGGATTATATGGGTTGTAGAATTGGTTGAAAGGGCGGTATCGATTATTAGGAGGGCGGGGAGGCCAAAACCGGTTGTTATTTGGAAAGGTTCGTCTTACAAAAGGTCGAAATCCGCGAGGATTTCCGTAAGTGCTGTTTGTGAGGCGGAAAGGAGTACCGGATCTTCTTTGTTGTCTCCAATTGGGATTATTATTTGGCCTGTCGTTTGGTTGGAAACGTACTACTGTGCGGGAGCGATCTTGTCTAGGTGGCGGAGTATTTCAGGTGGTTTGGAGAGTATTGACCTGTTGGGTCAATTCCTCCACTTTTTCGCCTATTTTGAGAGCATTTATGCTCTCCAAAAGTTCTCTATCTTCACGATACTCTTGTTCGAGTATCCTTTGTATCTTTTCGGCATTAGCGAGAGCGGTATCGAAATCTTTGGGATCAGGGAGGCGTCTAACGGCTCGCCTGATGTCTGATTTCAACCCTTTGATGAAAAAATCGATGGAAAGTTTATTCGGTATCTTCTTGTCTTCTCCTTGATAGGCTACTTTCGTTTTGGTTAGTATCTTCTTTGCAAATTCGCCAACAGTGTCTTTTCCTTGTCTGAGACTATGTAGTTCGTCTCGGACATTACTTAGCATAGCTTGGTTTTTGAACTTTTTCGCTAGGTTGGTAACGATTTCTGTCCAGTTTCCCTTTTCCTCGGGTTTTAGAGATTGGTATTTTATTTTGGCTCCACCGGATAGAAATAATGGGAGGAGACTTTGGGCGTAAGCATGGGGAATATGGAGGCTGTCGACCAATTCTTTATAATCATCCAGAAATTCTTCAAATGTTTTGTCACCGTCCCCGGTAAATCTTTCAAGCCTAGTCGACAGAAGTTTGCTCGCGGCATATAAGTTTTGCTGCGGAAAGTTAGGGTCTTCGACTAGAGGCGCGTTCATATCGGCTTGTACGCTAGCGCTGGGCATGTTTGGGCGTCTTGAAATCGAGGAGGGTCGTTCTAGCTCTTTTGCTGCCCTTTTCCGGTCTTGAAAGTCTCTGATTACAGCTCGAAGTTCGTTGATTACGTCAAGAGAGAAGTTGGGATTGCTTTCGTCTACAGAGTGATATTCAAACTCTTCCGGGGGTTCTAATTCGCTAGTAGAAGGACGATCTAAGTCAGATTGCGTTATACGCGGGGTTTTGCGTTGTTTTTCCAGTTTTTCGAGCGTCACGTTACGATCGTCACGATTTGTTTGAAAGGCACGCGCTTTCTTAGCGGTTTTAGAGAGTGATTTCTTAGGAGGTATCTTGACTGTTTTGATGGAAGTGAGAGCTAGGACTCTATTACAGCTACTTTCCACAAATAATGTATAAGTTTTACAGGATACTCGCGTGGATGGCACTGGGACGCGAGCGTAGCTCACACAATGGAAGGCTGCCAAGAAGGTGGGTGTGTGTGTGTGTTTTTTTTTTGTTCTCTTTCAAAGTTTACACTTTATCAATTGAGTTATTTTTTTATTGAGGTTTCTTTTCTTTCTTTGTAGTACTACGAGTAGCGTTAGTTGATTTTTTTTTAGTTAAGTTAAGCTAATACTACTCCTTTTTTTGAGAGAGAGAGAGAGAGATACGGATTTTGTTTGACGTGGGCTATTTTTTTTTTGAGAGATGCGAATTTTTTTGGCTTTAGACTCTTTTCCTGGGAACTGCGGATTTTTTTTTTCAGATTTGATATACTTTTTTTTAAAGATATGGATTTTTTTTTACTTGACTATTTTAGGTTTACGCAACGTTGAGATGCGATTGTGCGGCGTTTACATGGAGAGAAGAGCTTTTCCTACAGAGATGCGATTGTGCGGCGTTTACGTGGAGAGAAGAGCTTTTCCTACAAATGATACGTCTTTAATATTTTTCCCTTTGTTCTGATCTTGTTTGTAGCGAATTTTTTTGTATGTGTTTCTTTTTTTTTTGAATTGTTATTATATAAAAATAAAGATTTCTTTCGGGGAGGGGGTCAATAGGGATAGTTTTTAAAAGTTTTTAGTTAAGTTTACGGCAAATGTGAGGAGCGAAAGTGTGTAAGTGCGGATTAGCAGTGATTAGTTAACAGCCGGATGGCTGTAATTATGGCAAGTGAGAAGAGAAAATATGAGATTACGAGGTATCTTTTCCTTTTCCAAAATCGAGTTATTTTTGTATTCAAAAGTAATGAGAGGTATAGATAAGTGATGAACTCACTATAACAAGGATATGAGAAATGGAAATGTGTTGGGAAAAACTCAAAGTGGAAGTTTAAAATACTTACTGATTTGTGTCGTTGTATTGGAGTTGGTATTATTCGGATAGATAGAAAGTTGAGATAGAATAGTTGAGGATGTTAGTAGGAGGTCGACTGCTGTGCAAAGTCGATCAAGTGTTAGTGTAAGTTCTTTCACCGAGAGCTAGCTTTCATACTTGGAAAAGCGGAGTTTCGCCGCGGCTTAGTCGTACATTTATCTTGCTCTTTGGGAGCACAGTTTGGAGTTTAGAATATTCCCGTGGCAGCGATTAGTTTTCTTTTGTGCGCATGGCCAGTTTCAAAGTCGCGAGTCAGATTTATTGCTTGGCTTAAGGCGGATGGTTGTTGGTTTTTAGCCACATTAGTCAAATTGTACGAAAGTCGAAATCCCCTATGGAGACATTTATTTTGCGCGGTTTCTGGCCGCAGCGCCTTTGGCATTTGCGGCTTATCTTGATAAATGACAAGAGCCGAGAGCGGCTCTCGCGCGGTCATTATTCACGTTTCGCCTAACTCCTCTATTCCGGATACGGTGGCCTAGCTTATACGAATGACATGTAGTTGAAGATTTTTTTTTAAACGCATTTGAACATCGATGATATTTTGGAACTTGAAAGGTGTGAGAGAACACTGGTTTCCTACTGTTGCTTCTGACACGGGTTTTTTTGAGAGTGTGTGAAGGCGGGAAGGTTATTATGCGAATAGGTGGAATTATCGGCCCTTATTTTACGTGTAGGTTTTGAGTATTTCTGCCACATACCTAATGCTGATTTGAGCGATTCATATTTTGGTGATGTCTTTATGTTTTGTGATTCACGTCTTAGAGGAATATGCAGTCTATTTTTTTAAGCAAATTAGAAGGTTTTTTTTCTGTGTCAGTAGCACACTTTTGCAAGCTTTATGAGATCAAAGGACTACGAGATGGCATAGCACGACAAATGGAGATATTATAAGCAACGTTATATACATGAATAAAAACCTTTTTGTTTCTTCTGGCTCAGCACCTGCCAGCTGGGGGTTTAGTCGAGGTGAATGTGATTTATGATTTAGATCTGCGATAGTATTCGAACATTATATGAGAGAAAATGCCATGGGAGAAAATTAGGAAGCAGTTGATATTAATGCGTTCAAGTCTTGGAGGTAGAGTGGGATTTTTTTTAATATATGAATGTAAACTTGTTACTGCGCATGAGTTTATGAAGCGGTCACTTAATTGTTTTATATTTTACCTTATTCGCGAGGGTGACGCTTAGACGACCTGGCCAGGCTTTTCCTACGCCATGAAAATAGTGGGGAGCAGTGTGCTCCAGTCACATAAGTTGAGAAATTTTCATGTGGCCTCGCGATAGAGTGGCGTAGATGTGACTTAATGCGCTTATAGAAGTTAATATATGGCAAAATGTATGGTTTAGAATAGGTTAGTAAAATAAATGTTCTTTTGCCGAGTTTTATAAAGGTAAAACCCGGTCCGGAACCTCCATGTAACGAATTTATGTTTTTAGGTTGTCGTTAAGCTAAGAGTGGTACCGTAGCTGGACTTTTCAGTAACGCTTACTTCCTATTCTTTCAACCGGCATACATAAAACTCAACTAGCTTCCTTACTAAGCATTTATCAGGCAAATATAAACAAAGTATAGAATATAAAGGGTGTAGCGGTAGACGGCAAAACAGGGCGGGATAAAAGTATAAGAATAATTAGAGAAGAAATTAGATAGCGGATAGATAAGTGGAAGATAGATAGGTTTGAGATAGAGGGTAGTCAAGCAGGAGCTAGTGCTCCGGCTCAACCTTACATAAACATAACAATATAATATAATACGTGAATAAATACGAGGCAATTATACGAAGGGGAATAATAGAATAAACAAATGATTAGAGAATAAATAAATATGGAGGGCGGGTGATTAAAATGAGGGGGGGGGGCGGAGATTCGGAGACGATCTTGTTGAAGAGGCAGCTGCAAAGCTGCCTCAAGTCCGAACCTCTCGTGGGCGGGGCATATTGCTTTATATAGCCCCGAGGCGAGCTTTGAGGCGGGGCGAGGAGGGCGAGGAAGATGGATTAATAGCGCAGATAGTTGCGCTTTTCCTACACAACTACCGAACCAACCCAGTTGGTTCGGAGCATAAATATCGGAGAGTTCACATAAGTTTTGGACCTTTTTGATTTGGACGATTAAAACGCTCAAAAATCTATCATAGTGAAGAGAGCGAATCAAACCTTTGCCTCTTCTCTTTTTTTTTGAGCTAAAAATAGTGTAAAAGTACGCGTTGATAGATGTTGCGCTCCAATCACATGCGGTGTCCTTCAAACTATGTGGCGAAAAATGCATCGCCAGATTGTTGAGGCCACAAATTTAATTGGCCTAGGAGGTATTCGCCATTCTGAGCACCAAAATAGTACCATACTCAGTGACAGAGCCTTCAATCAACTCAAAAAGTTTCCTTTTTGCTTTTTTGTTGTGTTAGATATCTCAAAATGCGTTTTTTTTTCGCTTTTTGTTGTTATGTTGATTAATAAGGGCTTCCCTGCTGATTTTTACGTCAAAAGGGACTTCGTAAATTTTCGCCTAGTCATGGGGGACTTCGTTTTCAAAAATGCTCCAAACCAACGCGTGCCGGGCCCTGGCAAAGATATTAAAATCAAGGATATTTGAATGCTGTGAAGTAAGTTAATGGGGTGTGGCACAACCCCCTAAAAGGTGTAGCAGCTGGTTCAGTATTTGAAAAACTTCAGAATTAGCTCAAACTTGGTCCGCAGGGTCATTTGACATGCTGATTGTGGATATATTACTCTTAATGCTTGGTAGGGCTTCTTTTATTATGATAAGGTAAGTATACAATGACAATATCTCATGTGCTTGTATACTGGGTATCTGACAAACTGTTTACAAATAACATGCTATCGCTGTTATCGGTACTACGACCCCCTTACCTTTTTAACTCGTCAATACGACCCTCAAGTGTGGCGTGCCACACCCCTCGCTTGACCCTGTTCAGAACTCTTCTCCTAATTCACCTGCAAAGCTGCTATTTCGAAAACTCGTTGTAAACAAAAGAATTTTCAAAATCTTGATACTTGTGAAAGAAAATAAAATGCGCTGTGATTATAAATCCGCTGCCGGATGAAATTGCGGAATTTTGGTGCTAGTTTTGTAAAATGCTAGGATTTACTCTAATCTTGAAATCCATGTCGAAAAACGCAGGTTAGCCTCTGACCGTTACTCTCACGCCCCGCACTCACAGCTGCGAGATAAAAGAAGGTGACTAGTATAAGCACAGTCGACAAAATGCCTCGAAGCAAAAGTATCGTCATCATATGCACAACACAAATTTCAGTGTCAACATTTTATTGAATGGAAACAAAGAAAAATTACAAAAAAAAAATCGAGAACAATTAGAAGCCCTACATCGCAACCGGTTTGGACTTGAACAACACTAGAGGTTCTATGATAACACAAAAGAAACCATGAAAGCTAGGTACTTTGCGCCAATAAAGGATGACGAAACGCAAAACATGGTACAATGCACACAATGTTGAGGATTCGCAGTATAAACTCAAATCAGCCTATGAAAAAAAATTGGCCGATGAACAGCGGCGATAACATCGAAGAAATCAGAGGAAATTTTAGTTCAGATAAGATTGGTTACAGGAGCAATTGTATTGACACCTAACCCCTGTAATCCTGTCGTAACAACTCATAAGCTTAGTCTTGCCTTCGAACGCGCCTCTTCGTAACGGCGGTGGGCGATTTCTTTACAGACTCGCTTAGTTCAGCATCTACAATCTCGGGCTCACTCACGCTGCCCTCATCATCCTAAAATCATAAAATAAAGAATAAAAACAAAATGATTCTCTAAGCATACAACCTCAATATCCTTCATAGCCTGGTGCGCCTTCGGTGGTTGTGCAGGACTTCCTTTGGGAGTTACTTTTTTGGGGCTAGCTTTTCCTGTCTCAGTCACCTCAAAAAACTACCGAATCGTACAGGTGTAAAATGGATTTCATGAGGCAAATGAAGAAAATCATAAACGAACTCACTTCTTCGGTTTCCTCTTCTCCTTCTTTTTCATCTTCCTCATCATCGACAAGATTTGGAACCTTAACACGAAGACTTTGCACTACTTCACATCGACCAGAACGTCTCACTTCATCATCGGCCTCAGGAGCATCAGTCTTCTTTCTCTGAGCAGCAGCGATATCGGCATTCGATTTGCGGCCAAAGCAGCATACACCGATCAGAATGATGGGGATCAGAACGCACAGCACATACACGACCCACAGCCATGGTTTTTCCTGTACAATCTAACCTTAGCACGTTGACGACTGTGTACATACGCGCGTATGCAGCCCCGACTCCCGTTTAGCACTTTTGTGCATCATTTTTTCATGAGTAAACGTGAAATTCCTAGTTAATTTCTATGCCATAATGATGCTGGTGACCTGGTTGTCATATAGAACACAGGAGTCGCGGTAGCTGTCCAGGATCTAAGTCGCAGATAGATATTCAGTCCATTTGGATGTGGTTCAAATTGGCTCGGTCGTCAGCTTGTAAATGAATCCACAAAAAACCCAAAAGATTGCGAAAGCTTTGCTACAATCACGGCTAAGCAAGATAGAGTTCTATCAGGCAAGTTGTGAGGTCTAATAAAAAGATTGGTGAAAAAAATAATGGGTACTTTTTTTGTATTCGTAACATGCTTTGAACTGCGAATGGCCCATCGCTAAAAAATATTATGAGGAATTAAAAGTTGTTATAGAAAATGAAAGAAAAATGACAAATAATGAATAGCATACGTTTGCAGCATCTATGATACCCTGCACTATACCAGCACCCTTGCCCAGACTGCTTGCTAGTCGTTGGTCTTCCGCGCGACGTACCGTGTACGTTTGCTTAGCCACCTCAGCAGCCAAACTCTCCGAGTCACAAACAAGTATGTTATCTAAAAAATTGCAAGACGTGCAGCTTTTCAGATGGCTCAAAAATGATGCACTGACCGAAAATGATATTTTGGCTCATGGTCCACAGTTCGATACCAATTACAGTAATTGGTGCAAGCCCGTCGTAAGGTTTCGGCTCAAAATAGTTAGGATTTGCTATCTGTCGAGGAGCCCAGACTCCTTTAAAAGCAGGATTAGGGATACGGGGACGAACCCATTTACCCTAAATAAAATTTTGATTGAAAAAATTGGAGAGTGATTCATATCCGACCTTATAAAGAGGATTCGGGATCAATGGCTTCTTCCATGGGCCGCATCCGCTTATACCCTTGCAGGCCGGGTTATCGATCATTGGCGGTTCCCACTCGCCATCCATGTCATTGTCCCAGTCTTGAGGTTTCTTCGCCTCTGGATCAGGAATTAGTTCCGGCTGGAAAAAGACGGGATCAAAACAGATGGGATGACTGGTAACGAAGATATTGCAAGCGTTGTGCAGAGATGTATGAAGATGACTTTCCATAAATTTCGTTGGCGGACCGACTTGGCATCGAGGTAAAAGAAAAATAGCGGTCATGATAATGCATCTCCATTTTCGAGACCACATTGATTCTATTGAAACCAAGCCGAAAAACCTTAGCTTCACGTTTTTGTTTTCAAGCCGTTTGAATACAATATCATAAACATTCGAAACGGAGATTTGATTCAAATGAAACCAAGCCGAAGAACCTTAGCTTCACGTTTTTGTTTACAAGCTGTTTGAATACAATATCATGAACATTCGAAACGGAGAATAAATAAGCAATAATAAAACAAAGCAGCAAACCTCATCTCCAAGCCAATCAGATGGTTTCACTGCCTTTTCGTCCACTACTTCACGTGGCTGGCTTTCATCCCAATCATCCGGTTTCACGGCAGACTCATCTTCGATTTCAGCTCTCAAAGCATTACGGTATCGACGCAAGAATAGCAATGGTCACAAAATCACAACTTACCTATCATCCCAGGAGGAAGGTTTTTTGTCATCTGGATCAGCAATTTCTTTCGGAGGAGTGAGAGATGGCGTGAGATCCTGCGCACCAACATCATTTTATTATGCAAGTAAATAAAGATAAACTCTCTTACAGTGAGCATGTTTCCAGACATTATCCCCTTCTGATCAACTGAGACCGAAAATGCGCCATCAGGTTTCAGGACTAGAGTATAGAGGTGTGTTTGATGATCATCCCAATAGGTTGTACCAAGGCTTGAAGACTGCTTCGCATGGTACTCCTGCAAAATCAGATTTTTCATAATAGGCAAACAAGAAATGTTGTTTTTCTCACATCAATAGACCCATTTTTGGGATTTTTGTAACGGAAAATGAGGTGGACTTTCCCAGTAGCTCCGCACTTATCCGGACCAAACATGATTGTGTAAGGCGTCTTGTCCTGAGGATAAGGTTGATGGGAAGATAAAGTGTTTACAGCCAGACAACTTCATTAGACCAAAGCCGCATTAGAAAAAGGAACGAAAAAAGATAACAGATTAGCAAGACCAGAGCAAAGATACCTGGACAGCCGAAAGACTTTTTTCGGCACCTTCACTCAGCAATTTCAGGTACCCTCCACCGCATTCCTGTCCTTCTTCGTATCTAACTTCGTATCTAGAAACAAACATAATGGCCATGTGAGCCACACGACAGAATACGGGATGCTTTGAAACCCACTGCACAACTAGAGGCTTATCCTTGAACGGAAATGGTTTGTCCAGTTTCGCGGCTATTGCATGATGATGAGCCTTCGTACGAACAATCAGTCCATAGTCGCCCTCGATAGACACTTCCGAAGGTGCGGCGATTTCCCATTTACCTAAAACGAAAAACGGAAAATTCCAAATCTAAATACTACGATATTTGTCCTCACCATTGTATTTGGCAATCTCAGAATCTACCCCTTCTTTCTTCGCAGTACTGACTATCCATCGTTTGCCAATACCATCCGTTGTAGAAAAGCAATCAAAAAACAACGGCTTTGAGCTCAAAGTGGGCTCCGTAAACGAGGTTGGAACGAAAGAGGTCTGTAATAGATTCTTGGAGGCAAAGTAGACGATTATGAGAAATTTTTGCTTAATCACTTCGTTCACATATCCTAGCATTGGTTCCCGTGGGATTAAAGAGTGTCCACCAATTTATTACTCATAAATTTGACTAAGTATATTGAGATGTGAGTTAATCAGAAAGCAAATCCTGGTGATTCTTAGGAATCAATCAGAGTTTGCCAGTGTTGCCGGTGTTAAAAGTGTTGTCCGGTGTTGAAAGTGTTGCCAGTGTTGAAAGTGTTAAAAGTGTTGCCGGTGTTGAAAGTGTTGAATGTAGAAATCATCAAGTTTGCAGTTTCATTCTTCCTCGAGTGATCTCACCGGCTGGTGAATACGTTTGAATCGGACATCGAAAACGAGAAATGAAATTCAACTGGAAAGGGAAATGCTTTCGCATGGAAAAGATCCTCATACAAATTTTTTGGAAAGCAGAGGGCTTGTTTTAGATAGGCAATCTTCACATTTTGAGAGCGCTGCTAAAGTCTGAGTAATGCGTGTTAGGTGCCGAATCTGGCGCTTTTACGATTAGTGAGTATAAGACGTGCCTCTGGAAGGTCTTCCAGCGTTCTCAAATATTGGAGACTGCCTATTTCAAATACCCCCTCTAATTTCCAAAAAAGTGCATATGAGGTCTTTTGTATGCGAAAGCATTCCCCATCCCACTTCAGTTTCACTTCTCATCTCCCATTTCCATTTCAAACGTACTCACCAGCCGTTGAGATCGCTCAAGGAAGAATGAGCTGCAAGACTGATGATTCCCACATTCAACACTTTCAACACCGGGCAACGCTTTCAGCACTTTCAACACCGGCAACACTTTCAACAGCGGCAACACTTTCAACACTGGAAACAGTGGCAAACTCTGACCGATCCCTTACATCTGTCTAGAGCCTGGTGAATTAAAAATGGTATGATAACGAGTGCATCTTGCGTATTTATATCGATAACCTCGCATAGGTAGGTGCCAGAGTAAGCGAATATTTTGTTCAAGTTGGGGTCCTGTGCAGAATTGACGTCTCTCACCATGCTGGCGTCAATCCAAGTGACGTCAATTCTGCGCGGGACCCCAACTTGAACAAAATATTCGCTTACTCTGGCACCTACCATAAAGTCAACGGAATACCAGCTAAATCTTTGTTTCACCTTTTCATCGTCGTAATTCTGACTTAACAGTTTAAAAACTATGCAAAATTGATTGAACCGCACGAAATGCGCAAAATAGCCCGTTTAAAACGCAGCTTTGCCTTTGAAACGTGGATATCAAACATTTGCTGTACTTGTTATACCAGACATTGAACAGTTGAGTAGCTTTAGTTCAATCTTTGTTCACAGAGGACTTAGGAAAGTGGGAAGGAACCGCATCATGATAGTTAAATGGTAGCACTCCAATCTGTTCAAGATCTTCAACTGTGAATGTCTAAAGAAGCTATTTCGCTTATTCTCCTTTAGGAATTCCATCAGTGAGAGTCAACTTTCTCATTCTGTTGTTCAAAAATTGTTCATGTGCATACCCCGATAAATCCTACACGCTTCAGGCCCCGGCCAGACTTTGCCAAAGCCCTAAAAACGCTCAAAAACGCCCAAATTTCTCTAACCTCTCTTCGCTTTCTTTCTCTCCCTCACACGAGAAAGAGAAAAGACATTGGAGAAATGTGGGCGCTTTCACCGAAGTCGGGAAGGGTACAGCCTCAGAGTGTGCGAAGTGCACAATGGTTTATCACTTCTTCAACGCACTACAAATAATACTACAACGCACTACAACGTTATCATGGACTCTTTGCTGATAACTGCAACAATCAATATGCAAGGAGACTGCGGACGATGAAACCACATATCACAGTATGCGTTGAAAAACGAGGAAAAAGCACACTCATGAACCAAAACACATACCTTTTCACCTGCGGAATCATCAGCGTTCACACCAACCGCTCTTAGTAATGCAATACAGCAGATCTGCGCAACGGCCCGCATCGTTGCTGCAATATTTGGCTTCAGAGACAAAGAAAACTATGCACTCTAGAGTTCATTCATCCGTACGCATAGTCCATGTTTGATCAAATATCGCATAGTAACGAATAAAAAATCGATTAAACACACGCAAAAATATAACACTCGTTAGTAAAGAAAGGAAAAGGTCAACAGCACACTCTTCGCTGAGGGAAACGTCGAGAAATGATGAAGTGCAAGATCGAGACTACGCCACGTTTCCACGTCAAAGATTTTCGTCTAACATGATCAATCGTGAGCATAGACGTGGATAGATTTCTCTTTTACAACTGTCCTCAATCAACACGTCAACTCATGCCAGACATGTCGAGGCGAGGACAAATACGAGGTCGTTGTGCAGCCAACCGACGCCATAGTCCTCGCTAACGCTCTTCGAAACGGTCAATTTGCATGTGTAACTTGTCGGAACAAAAGGATTTGTGCTGCGCTGACACCTTTTACATGGGAAAGGTGCAGATAGTACATCGTAATCAGAAGTATGGACGAAACTGTATCATTGACATTGAACAACAATCAGACTCATGGGAGAGAAGAATGTTGCTAATTGAAGTCTGTTGCCAAGATGAACGTCACAGATTTTTGCTGTCCCAAGGTTCACAAATCAGTGTAATTAGCCGCTATCGTATGTAGCAATATTAATTATCAGCTGTAAACAAATCTGGCGGAACCCATTTATTATGTTGGGTTCCTGACAATAACTGGCTTTCATAAGTTCGGATTTACTTCAGTCAAATAGATATGTATTTGAAAGAGAAATCCTCAGAGTTTAGTCGCCTAAAATTTCGTGTCATTCGGCCCTAGAGCACTACAGTCCAACTCTACGCCCTCGCACTCACAACAAACTTTTGAGTTTTCAGCCGCCTTCAACATTTCGAAACTTTGGTCGGCTTCACGGTTTGATGTAAATGTTCATAATGTTCATCACGTCGAGAACACTGGCCGCCAGGTCATTTGCAACTGTATGCCTATTACACACCACGCACGCTACTCGACGACTTCTAAGATTAGAACCTGCTCATTTCCAGTGATTATCCTTGTTTCCTTGCCTCTTTGATTTGATTGGATAGTACATATTTCTACCGTTTGCCGTAAGAAGATCTTTAACTGAGATGTTACTAGTAAGTGTGCTGATTACCACACATGGTGTGCATCACTACTAAGTTACAAATGACTCGAGGAGCACAGATAAACATGAAGAAAGTAAAACAATACAGTATTAGCAAAGTCAAAACCCAAGCGATTTAGCAGCCTTGAAAACAGGTTGATCGAAAGATATAATGCATTTCGGATGCTATCGGTCGGTCGAGTTTGCGACAGAATTAAGAAAATATCAATATGAAGAGCGCGACCGTGAATAATCAGACACCATAACACGAGAAATGGGCTAAGGCACAAATTTGCTCTTTACTAAAAAAGAGCAAAATACAGTGTATTAACCAAGAAAAAAAGCAAAATACTCGATTATCCAGGCAGAAAAACATTCCAACAATGTTACTTTTGTAAAAGCTGGGGAAAATACGGAGGAACTGTTCTAGAGGTTTCTGGACCGGTTATCAGTGGTTAAACTAGAAATTATGAGAAGTCACCATACCAAAGTGGGCTCAAGAGATAAGTCAGCATGAGAGACATGCAGACCGAAACAAATTTTACTGATTGTCGGACATACATAACGGTGATGATTTCTTTTTAGAGAGTGAGAAAGAAGAACGTGTCTCAAGATCAGAAATTTTGAGACCTAAAAAGCACAAAAGATGGAGGAAAAAATTTTGGTGATAGTCAAAGCAGAGAATAGCAGAACATGCCGGTTTTTTGCAATCTTCCCAAAAGAAAGCTCAGAACGTGAGGAAATGAAAGCAAGATAAATTTTCAAGAAGGTTGAAGCAAGTTTGGGAATGCTCAAATCAGAATGGTCTGGAAAGCTCTAGAGAGGTGATTGTCGCCAAAAATACAAAAAATGTTTTATATACTGATAATAAACACTTTATTCTATTTACTGCTACACTAATCTGGAAAGCTCTAATGAGGAGATTGTCGCCAAAAATATACAAAAAAAGTTTTGTACCAATAATCACTTTACTTTATTTACTGCTACACTCAGAGCCCCGGAAAAGGTAAGAAAAATTTTGAAGGACATGACACTAGCCAGTCTCGAAACTCTGGGACGTAAAAGCGACAAGGAAATATGAAAACAATGCTCTAGACTTTTAGAATACAAGGAAATTCACAACATCCATTCACCAAAAACGAGCGGAGTGGCATGGTAAACTTCAAAACCCCACTTATTCTACATTTGCAATGACTCTTTATACGAGTGTCAACGATGGTAGTTGGTAACAATAAAGTAGAAAGAAAATAAAAAATATTGAGCAAACACTTATAATTTGCAATGAAATGGAAGATAGTCTATCAAACCTTCACAAATGCAGAAATGAAAGAATGTTCAGATTCTAAAAAAGAGCACAACAGAATTTTCGTGAGCTCGTACAAAGGGGTAACGGTCAGGAGGTACGATTGGCGCTATATTTTCGCGAAGTGCGCGGTAAAGCGGTTCCTGTGTACCTTCCGACGTGCAGCCCGTACAAAGTGCAGAAATTTCAGTGTGCACTGCGAACAACAAATGCAGTAGCGACACGTCATATGAGCGCTGAGGCCCTCTCGCTACCACTGAGTTCGGCTGGGCCCACAAAGCTGTGCTCTATCGTCAAATTGGTTTGGACAAGAGCCGACGCTAGAATGCGTGGAAACAGATCTGTTCAGCCACTGCACGGCTCATTAAGAGTCTACGCAACGTTTGTCGAGTGCTTAGCAATGGGTCCATATAAGTAGCCTGAGTGCATAATAACCTGGGAAAGTGGTCTCATTATGGATCTGCAGCGAACGCAAAGCTCTAATGTTAATTCAACTGTACTAGACGTCATCCTATACACAATACAGCAGTTCTAGAACAAAAGACAAGTGGCAATTGACCAGGCATGATTTCAGCCTCAGAACAATAAAAATTAAGTCACAAGCGTTTTTTGTACTCTATGTCTTTATTGTGTTCTTTTCTCCAAGTAAGGCATAAATGTTACAAATATACCAAGGTGACTTTCTGCAAAGGCTGCGTTCATACTGACTTCGAAATCCGGGAACTGTTCCAGCACAGAGCGCTCAGTTCGAGCGCTGTGCTGGAACTGTTCCCGGATTTCGAAATCAGTATGAACGCAGCCAAAGACGCGAGATTTCACCTGGCAAGCATCTACAAAATGTGTTGTGCAATCGCAGTACTTTTGCCAAAATCTGACTAATCATGTTTGAAGCGAAACATACTACACGGTTTCAAGAACTTATAAAGGCAAAAAAATTCAACTTTTACACGTATGCCACTCGAAAGAACGGTCAGGATCCAGTCTATTGACATATTTTTACTTTAGAGGTGGCAATTGACCAGAATGTGGATTCACACAATGTTATCAGGGTCTATATTTCTTACGCAAACACGCGCTATTCGTATATATAACTGTCAATTTTTTCCAGATTTTTAGGTGATAGATTATGCTGCTCATTTCTTCACAAAATAAGCTGAATGAAACTTGTTGATTCAGGATCCCCATCACGACGATATAATCGCTGGTGTGCAGGTGCGAGAGAGTGAAAGCCCACCCCCCCCCCCCTTTCACCTGGAACGGAGAAAAAATTTTTTTTTGAGGTGAGTAACTAGTGCACGCGAAATCATGATTAAACGTGGAATGTTGTAAATATGATTTAAACCGAAAATTACATGGACAATGGGCACTGGCAGATACTCAGAGGCTTAGAGGACGCTGATGGACAGTTCTACCGGGAACTTACAAATTTGGATAGTGATAAGAGACTTTGCGATGATTATGAAATTATTGTTGCAAATAAACTCGCATGTCGGTATCCATAGAATACATATGTCGGTATCCATAGAATAAAAGAATTTGCTGCTTAATTGTGACCACTTAAAGCAGAATAAACGTATAAAGTGTAGCACAGTGATAAGAATAGTATAAACGATGTTCATAGAAAATCCTAGGGCTGCAGAGGTGAAGTTACGATGTTGATGATATTCAAGCTTGAGTAACTTGCAGCAAATCATTCTGCGAGAGTATAGGCGTTAGTAAGAGATATTTCCTCTATGATATGCAAAAACATTCTGAAAAGAATTTATTGTCAAGTTATGGAGCGATCGGAAATCACGACGCCAAAAATCGATTTTGGAAATAACTTTTGTGTGAGTGAATGAAATTGAGGGGAGGTAGATACACTCTACTTATCAAGAGCTTTCGAATGATATATAGTATGTGGGGTCTTATGTTTTTCCCCCTCCGAGGGTGGGGGAGCCTGCTCATTTCAGCATGCTCACCCTCAGCGCCTCTCCAATGCATTAAAGAGAGAGGAGGTGAGAACGCGAAACTGAGCGTGTTCATCCCCTCTTCCAGCAGCCCGGGGCATCAAACCCCACATTTCATATATCTCGGAAAGCTCCTGAGGTGAGACAGTCACCTATACCCTTCCCTTCACATTTCTTCACTTATACAAAAGTTACACCGAAAATGCGATTTTAAGGATTTTTTGCAGCCTCATCTTTCGGGGATGGGGGCATTTTAAAATTTACTTTTTTGCATTCGGAGAGGAAGGCCTACTGACTTTTACCTATACTCTCGCAGAGAAGACATCGGGTGTAGCGAAGGAGACTTACAGCAAGAAAAGGAGACGATTGGGAAACACGCGTAAATTTTTAATTTAAACTAGCTGGCTTACCCGGCTCCGCCGTATGCTCCAAATAGAAAATTCCATTTCTCAACCGATCCGGACGAAGCTTGACACACATACACTTCGGGCCCCGGCGGGTGTCACAGTCCATTTTTCGCTATCGATCGATGTCGATTTTATCGATTTTTTGCAAAATTTGAGCTAGGGAGCTGGAATTTGGCAGGGGGGTGTAATTGAGCATGCTGATCACCCCCACGGGGGTGATCAGCATGCTCGATTACCCCCCTGTGCCAACTCCCAGCCCTGCAGCTCAAATTTTGCAAAAAATCGATAAAATCAATATCGATCGATGACGAAAAGTAGCCTATGACACTCGCCGGGGCCCGAAGTGTATGTGTGCCAAGTTTGGTCCCGATCGGTTCAGAAATGGAATTTTCTATTCGGAACATACGTACAGACAGACATACAGACAGACAGACAGACAGACAGACAGACAGACAGACAGACAAACAGACATTCAGCTTTATATATAAGATTAGTCGGTTGCGTGGAATCTGTTTGCGAGTGTATGCATAATACTAAGGGCCGCATGCACGAACAGAGGAGCTGGGGAGGGGATCGCAGCTTAAAAGAAAGCTTCATATCCTGAAGCTCCGAACTTCTGGATTTCACGCTGTCTACCTGCCCGTAAGTATTTCTACCATACTTCACTATGAACATACTGAACAGGAGCGAGAAGCTGAACAAGCGGATTTTTAGAGCTTTTTGTACGATCCCCTGGTGATCCCTGGGGAACGACCGTCTCTTCTTTAAAGTCATTTTTCTTTCTTCAAAGTTAATTAAAACATTCCAAAGTTGTACTGCTTATCTAACCCAACAGTGCTAATCATATTTCTGGTAAGAACAATTGATGTTTTGAAGTCATAAAATTTTCGATGATCCACAGGTCGAAATTTGAGGTTTACCGGAAAATTCGACTTTTCAAAAACTCATTTGTTCTCATCAGCAACATGCTTAGCACTGTTGTATTAGATGTTCAGTACAACTTTGGATGGTTTTCGTTAACTTCGCAGAAAGAAAAATGACTTTAAAGAAGAACCGGTCGTCCCCCGGGGATTACCAGGGGATCGTACAGAAAGCTGGAAAAAGCGGCTTGTACAGCTTCTTGCTCCTGTTCAATATGTTCATAGTAAAGGGTGGTAGGAATACTTACGGACAGGTAGACAACGTGAAATCCAGAAGTTCGGAGCTTCAGGATATGAAGCTTTCTTCTGAAACTGCGATCCCCTCCCCAGCTCCCCTGTTCGTGCATGCGGCCCTAAGTGAACCCTCCTGTATAAGCTGCAAGAAAAATTAAATCATGAAATGCCCCCATCATTAAAATATGGGGCTTTGTGCGTGGAGGGGGGGGGGGAGGTACCGTTGGACCTGAAAACTACATCACCTCGCAAAAATATTAGACCTCACAAATTATATATCATTTCGAAGCTTTGAAGAGCAGATTCCAAATCTAATTTAAAATTGACTTTAACCCATCTCAAGAATGATTGGCAGAATGATCTGCTGCAAGTTACTCAAGTTATACTAATTGAAAAAACCTTGTCAATATCATCAACATCGTAACTTCAACTTTACTGCCCTAAGAGTTTCTTCCAAGATTACTTATACTATTCTTATCACTGTGCTACACTCTATATGTTTATTTCGCTTCAAGTGGACACAATCAAGCAACAAATTATTTTATTGTACCACATAGATACCGTACAAATTTATTTGCAACATTTCATAAGCATCGCAAAGTCTCTTATTAACATTACCCACATTTGTAAGTTTCAGGTAAAACTGTCCATCAACGCCCCCAAGCCTCTGAGTACGGCCAGTGTCCATTGCCCACGTAATTTTCGGTCAAAATCAATTACAATATTACACGTTCGATCCACCTAAAAATGTGTTTTTTCGCCGAAAAATGGTATATAAAAATAAAATAATATGAAAGCAAAGTACTTGTAAAAATTTAAAAATAAAACTAATTATTAGGTTGATGCATAATTCCTGCACCAAAATAGGTACAGACTGCAATAATCCGGGATTCTCCTATATCCTAGATAGGATTTAATATATCACTAGATAGAGCAAACCTATCTCTACAAGATAGTGCTAGAACATCTACACCAGCTTCAAACCACGCGAAGCTTCAAGCATAAACCATGCGCCCGAAAACCTTATAAGATTTGGGCAGTTGGCGGGCGGTTTTCTTCTAAGACAGATCAAAACAAAATTGTAACTCCGTTCAAAAAACTCGTACAAAATTTCTTGCTTGCTCACGCGTAGACGTTTCATGTAAGACATTTATCTATGCAGCTGCTGTATTTTTTTTCTCAGCTAGACGACGAGAAAACGAAGTTTTTTGTTTTTGCCAAATCAGTGCTGAGATGTTCTAGCATTAACAGTTGTATACTACATGCCTTTATTAGTAAAACCTTACATTTTTTCTTGAAAAGCTAGTTTATGAGAAATATCGAATCTAGCTCTCCATATCAGAATTTTTCTTGCGTAGTTGCCCAAAATTCAGTATTTCTCGTAAACCAGTTGCTGTAAAAGGCTGAAAATTCATACTCATGCTTCTGAAATCCTGTAGTATACAAGTGTCAGTGCTAGAACATCTCATCATTGTTTTGGAAAAAAAACATGAAAAACTTCGTTTTCTCAATTTCTAGCTGAGAAAAAATACAGCAACTGCATAGAGAAATGTCTTATACGGAATGCCAATACACGAGCAAGTTAAGATTTTTGAAGGATTTTTTTGTACTTCCACTTTTTTCTTAGTTTATTGGGGCGCTAAGATCTTTTTCGTTTTCGGCTTCAATCTTCGCCTGGATCAAAGCTGCTGCAAAACTTTAGGCACTATCTTATAGAGCTAGCTCTGCTCTATCGAAAGATATATCAAGAATTATTTAGTATATAGAAGAAATATGTATGATTGCTATCTGTACCTATTTTGGTGCAGAAATTATGCATAAACCTAATCTATAAAGATTTACACGAATCAATTCAAAAAACCTAGTTAATCAAACTGGATAATTTTATGATTCATCTTATATTACGTTGGTGCAAAATTTTGTCAGTTTTTTCAATGCATCAGCAAACACGCCAGAATGAAGATAAGCAAACACTTCAAAATATATCCGATGCAGAAATTCTTCCTCTTTCCAGCTGCTAAACTCTTATTGTGTTTCTTTGCGAAAGTGACGAGTTATTTGCTGGAAATAACAACCACTCGTTTTTACCATGTCCAATTGTCGCTAATTTTCAAAATTTGTTATGAGCCTTCCGAAGGAGCCTTAATAACCATAACAATTAATAACCAGCAGATAAGGCAAACCTTTTGCCAACCGACGCAAGCTTTTGTAGCCCTATGGCTTGTCTTTCAGAATTTCTACGATTTATTTTTTGAAGTCACCAAATTTTACATTCAGCTTATTTTAACCTCGTAGAACATTAAATCTTAATCATTTCAGTCACCATTCAATGCAACTTTTTCTCCTCCTTCACACTCGTCTTTTTTTGCTGAGACAGGCGAAATTTGTGGGGAAAATCGCAGTATTTCTCAATTTCAGGAGTGCGCACTGACGTAACCTATGTTTCAAAATCTTCATAATTTAAAGCGAAAATTGCTCATTTACTTTGCAATGGTATCGGTAGTAATAATCGAGTGTTATAACCTTAGTATTCTGTAGGTTTTGAGGTGTTTGATGCAATAACAGGTTACGCGATTTTTCCAAAACACAAGACTTTTAGAAAATTATTTAGCAAAAATCTGAAAAAGCAGCTGAGAAAAAAGAAAAAAATTGCTTAAATTGGCAAAAGGTTTGCCTTATCTGCTGGTCATTAGGGCTCCTCCGAAAGTCTCATACAAAAATTTTGAAAATTAGTGAAAACTGGACATAGTAAAAACGAGTGGTTGCAATTTCCAGCGAATATCTTATCACTCTCGCAAAGAAACACAATAAGAGTTTAGTAGCTGGAAAGAGGAAGAGATTCTGCATAGGACAGATTTTGATATGTTAGTTTACCTTCATTCTGACGTGTTTGCTGATGGATTGAAAAAACTGACAAAACTTTTGCACCGATCATTGTTTATATATAAGATCGAATGGTGCACTTGTCTGTAGATTGGTGGATAAGCATGCCTGCGCGTTGTTGATGCTGTCTGTAGGTTCTCGATGGTGTTTTTATGGTCGATGGCGTTTTCGTATCTGTTGTTTTCGGTTAAGCATGGCAGTTTGTTATGGTGAGATACTTGGTAATGGCTTCACTCCAAAGCGATTTTATCGATTTTGCAAAATTTGAGCTGGGCTGATATGGCATAGGGGTTAACGACATGGATGTTGATCACGAATACAACATCGTTTTTGAAAATAAACATTACTTCTACCGAAGTTATCGATTATTTGCAAACTTTGAACTAGCTGGGAGTTGGCGCAGAGGGGTAAGCGAGCATGCTGATTACGAATATGATAACTATTTCTAAAAATGCCCATTACTTCTATCGATTATTCGCAAAGTTTTAACTACGGCGCCGAGAGTTGTTACAGACGGGTAAGCGAGCATGCTGATTGCGAATATGATAACCATTTTCGAGAATGTCCACTTATCGATTTTTCGCTACGTATGAGCTACGGCGCTGCGAGTTAGTACAGGCAGATAAGTGAGCATGCTGGTCACGAACGCACTCTTATTTTACAAAGTTATCGATTACCTTCCCTGGCTTTATCGTATGAAGTTCAAGCTACGGGGCCGGGAGATGGCACAGGAGTTTAAGCGAGCATGCTGATTACGAATATGATAACCATTGTCAGTAATACCCATCACTTCTATCGATTTTGTCGATTTTTCGCAAACTTTGAACTACGGCGCTGAGGGTCGGTATAGGCAGGTAAGTGAGCATGCTGGTCACGAACACATTCTTATTTTGCAAAGTAGTCGATTACCTTTATTGGCCTCTTCGATTTTTTTCAAACTTCAAGCAACGGGGCTGGGAGTTCGCACATGGGAAAAAGCGAGCATGCCGATTACTGTTCTTGAAAGTAACCATTACTTCTATCGATTTTATCCATTCTTTGTAAAATTAGAGCTACACGGCTGGCATCGGCACAATCTTGTATGTGAGCACGCTTGGTGCGAATATAATAGCTGTTTTTGAGAGTACCCATTTTATAGATTTCCCTTTTCTTTCAAAGTTGAAGCTACGAGACTGAGAACTGGCACTGGGGTGGGGATAACTGAGCAGCTTGACTTTCTATAATCACTATCGGAAAGGATAAGGCGGTAAATTTACTAAAAGTTGCCATAAACTCACTTTTGGTCGCCTTTACCTTTTTTAAAATCCTGCTTCTGCCCCTAAAATCAGAAGAGCACAAACAGCCTGGTCTCGAGGGTAGAAAAGGCTTATGAACTCAGATGGCAAGATATTTCCGCTAAGAATTTCTAAATGTCAATATCGATTATACAGGAACTTGCTCAGATTTACTTCTGGACCATTCTGCTTCGCAAAAACCTACACACTTCTGCCCCTAAAAGCAAAGAAGCAGAGGGAGCTTGGTCTCGAGGGAAGAAAGGACTCACATGGGCTCAAGCAGCAAAATAGTTTCGCCGGAAATTTCTGGGTCAAGGTTTAATTATACAGAAACTTGCTTGAAATTCACTTCTGACCCTTCTACTTTGCAGAAACCATACTGTTGCCCCTTAAAGCAAAAAGCACAGGGAGCTTGGCCTTGTGGAAAGGACAGACCCATGAACTTCTTGCGACAGGGCATTTTCACTGAAACTTTTGACCCCATAAACTTTGCAATAGCCACAAAACTCAAAAACCACACTTCTGCCTTGAAAACAAAAAAGCACAGGGACTCGTGGGCTCAGGCAGCAAGATATTTGCGCTAAATATTTCTAGGTGTCAATGTTTAATTATACAGGAACTTGCTGGAAGTTTATCTTTAGCCCCTTCTACTCAACCATACTTCTTCCCTGTGAGCAGAAAAGCACAGGAAGCTTGGCCTTGAAGGAAGGGCAGACCCATGCGACAGGACATATTCGCTATTTCGTCCTTCTACTTCACAAACCACCCTTCGGCCCCTAAAAGTAAATAAAAGCATAGGGAGCTTAGTCCAAGGGAAGGAAAGACCTAAGGTTTTGTGCGACAGGTACAGGTTTGCAGTTCCGGTAAGATTGCCCCTCAAAAAGCGTTGAGCCAGCTTTAGTCTATCTAAGAAATGAGTCCGCTTACTGACAAGACATCATCGAAGAAAATGCTGCTTCGTTTTTATCTACATAACTGGGTTTTTCTGCTGCTGGAAGATATAACTTAACGTTTTCTATAACATGACGCTTTTTCTGGAAATCAGTCTGAGTTTTGGGATGAATAAGCTGTCTAAACAGGTGACATAGGAGGTAGCTTCCTTGTTTAAGAGCTGTGGTATCTGGGCAAAAGTATCTGTGAAAGGAACAGCAAAGATGCTTTGTAGATAGTCATTGGTAGTAGCTTCTTAAGAGCATGGTATCTTGTTTCTACTACTACTCACAAGGGAATGGTCAGGAATCGAAGTGGCCAATTCAAGCAAACTGCATACCATTAGATGCAGCATAAAACACTGACTCTAAATCTGTCTTCCTTAACTGCAGAACGCTTTTGTGGACGAAATTATAAGCCGTTAAAGGCCATTATTTTGCTGAGAAATTGTGCATGTATAGGGCAAACTCGGTCGTACACAGCCTCTCCCGGCTCAGTACTGGACCAAAACATGCAACTGAGTCACTTCATAAGGCCCGTGCCTAGAGGTGAGCTAAAAAGGCAATAATGTGCCTAATTTTGCAATTTTTATGTACGATTTTTCGCACTAAAGCTGCTCATAACATCGCCTACAAAGGCGTTCTGCAGCTGCGGTAGACAGATTTGAGATCAGCGTTCTATGATCGAATGGTTTCGACTTCTGACCATTCCCCTTGTCAGGACACGCGAAAGGTCGATGAGAAGGTGGAGAATCTCTTCCTTGGAATTTTTAGTTAATCAATGGCAGATATCAATGTATACGCTCCCACCCACTTACTAGCGACCCGTAAGGTCGCTACTCTAATATATAAATCTGAATGTATGTTTGTCTATATGTCTGTATGTCTGTGTGTACGTATGTGCGGAATACAACATTAGTTTTTGGTATTACCTATTACTTTTATCGTTTTTATCGATTTTTTCAAAATTTGAGCTGAAGGGCTGGGAGTTGGCACAGGGGGTAAGTGGGCATTCTGATTTCGAAAACAACGTAGGGAACGGGAAATGAAGTGTAGAAGTGGGCACAGGGAAAGGCTGTACAGGATAGGGGTGGGACCTTTATTACAGCGTTTTGACAAAGCCGAGCTGAGCCGGGTAAGCAAGCTAGTTTTTTATAATATGCTCTCCTCAACCCTCGGTCGGCGTCGGCATTTTTTGGACACCCTTCACTTTTGAGTTCAAAATCAGCCGAGACACCCTTCACCTTAAAGGGTACCCGGCTCACCCCATCGCACCTATGCTGGCGCGCTACACATCAATATTCGAGCAAGAGAGGGACCCCGATTCTTTATAAGGACAAGAAGCACACATTTATTACGACTTCGGATGTCCAGAAAGCCTACGTATTTTTTGAGAGGCATTGTGTGCACACCATACGTGACCTTATGCGGCATGATGGGAGCAGCCTACTAATGAGATAGAATGGGAACTGCGGCTTAACGATTAACAAGGTGAATTCCCTACTTAATGAAGGAGTACGGTTCGCTGCATCACACTCGTGGAGCGACATCAAGATAGAAAAGAAGAAAGAAAGGACATTTCTCATACTATCACAGGGCTTCGCGCACCACAAGCATGTGGTCAAGTTCAGCGTTACGACGACGGTATTCGTCTATAAGAGACTTCCGGACATGTGCTCAAAAGTGAAGGAATTAGACGGCCAAACAATCTTATTCTTGTCGCGCCGATCAACACGAAATACCCTTTGAGGGTGAATGGATGAAACTGACGATGGCTTCAAAGATAAAGTGCGAGGAAGAGGAAAGCTAATGACAGCATCACCACGGGGCGAGCACGAATGGGAGGCCACTCGACTGAAGGCAATCGAGATGATGCACACCATTCGCGAAGCTGCCAACGCCAGCCGTGTCAACGTCGTACGAGGATACCTCAAGCACCAAGTGTTGCAGAGCCCGCTCTAGCAGTCGGGATAGGACCTCGCCCCAATGAATGGTCTAGATACCCAGCGGTGGTGGTATGGGACTTCCTCACCACCTTGGTAGATTGTGTGAAAGGAGATATATTTATGGACCTAATCGAAAAAGTGGAGAAACTTCGCTGAACCAAAGGTCACAGCACATTTCAGCAGCGCCACTCCAATAAATACCGATACAGGCAAGGATCACCTGATCAGGGAAAACGACCTGCCCAACAAGAGCGAGCATTCCGACGCGCAACCATACATGTGAAAAGAGGACAATGTGTTCCTACCCCCTTCACCCCTGGGCCGGAACCCAACTGACCCCCCTTCACCCACGGCCGATGAGGAACTGGAAAAAGTGAGACTAACAAACGTTTTGAGCAAAATTATGAAACTATCGGCATTATTAGAATCAAAACTAGTGACATGTTGATTCTAAATATTATTATGATTGTCAAAACTTATTTGCAGGTTCACTGAGAATTACGTCGGAGACTTGCCCCCCTATTGTTCACTTCTGGAGAATGACGAAAAAGCCTGGAGAAAAATTTATGTGTGACGTGTATGTATGTCTATGAAGTTACCACGTAATTACTGAAATAATAAGTAAAATAATAAATGAACTTTGATGATCGGTGCGCAGTTGAATTGCATTCCTTTGAAGAGGAATAAATTTTCTAAGCAGATAGCGGAATCCGTGGAAAGTCACTAGATGATTCCTTAAAGAGTCATTGTTCCACCTCTTAATATTATTTCTAAACTCTGACAGAGATCGTAACGTTTGCGTAGAGAAACAGTTGCAACCAAGGGCGTACTACATCGAAGACTTAGTCTAATCAGGGTTAGTCTTACTGTCAAAATGCTATAGCTATGAGGATCGTGGGGTTCCTGCCAGGTAGAGATAGTTTTAGTCATTCTTTTGAAATTGAATAGTTTTAAAAAAATGTAACTTTTCAGTGTGAAAAGATAAGAGGGTCTCTATCTATGCAATGAATTACTCTTGTTGATAGCTTTCAGAAAATATATAGCTTGCCAGAAAAAAAAGGATTTTCCTGTAGGGTGAAGGTGGTCGTAATCGTTTTTTCTAAAATAAGGAAAAATTTTTTTATAAAAAATCATAACTTTACTATATGAAAAGCTAGAAGAGTTTTTTGCACTCTATTGGAATCCTCTCGTCGTCCGCTTCCAGAAAATATATAGGTTGTGGGGAGAAGGATGCTAGAAGTACGTGGTGAAAGGGGGAGGAACATGGTACAATGGAAATGTTTCTTTCTGTGCTTCAAAAGCGTCGTTTTGAGGAGCTAAAGGAACTGCCCATTATGCCATTGTTCCTCCCCCTTTCACCACGTACTTTTAGCATCCTTCTCCCAACAACCTATGTATTCTCTGAGACGACGAGAGAAATGCAATGAACACCAAAATACTCTCCTAGCTTCTCAAATAAAAATGTTATAAATTTTTAAAATTAAAATTGGCTTAATTCCGGAAAAACGACTACAACCCCTTTCACCCAATAGGAAAGCCCCCCTTTTTCCTGGAAACCTACATATTCTCAGAAAGCGGACGACAAGGGATTCCAATAGAGTGCAAAGGACTATTCTGGCTTTTCATATAATAAAGTTATGAATTTTTATAAAAAAATTTCCTTAATTTTAAAAAAACAAATACGACCATTTTCACCCCACAGGAAAATCCTTTCTTTCCTGGCAAGCTATATATTTTCCGAAATCTTTCAACAAGAGTAATTCAATGTACAGCTAGAGACCTCCTATCTTCTTATATGAAAAAGTTACAATTTCTTATAGAAAATTATTCAATGAGAGAATGACTAAAACTATCTCTACCTGGCAGGAGCTCCACGTTCATCGTAGCTATATCATTTTGACAGTAAGACTAACCCTGATTACACTAAGTCTTCGATGTAATACGTGCCGTTGATTGCACCTTCTTCTCTACGCAAACATTACGATCTCTGTCAGAGTTTAGAAATATAGTTGAAAGTTGGAACAATGACTCTTTAAGGAATCAATCAATGACTTTTCACGGATTCCGCCATCTGCTTAAAAAATTTATTCCTCTCTAAAAGAATGCAATTCAACTGCGCACCGATCATCAAAGCTCATTTATTGTTTTACTTATTATTTGAGCAAATACGTGAGTAACTTCATAGACATACATACACGCCACACGTAAATTTTTCTCCATGCTTTTTCGTCGTTCTCTAGAAGTGAACAATAAACGGCAAATTTCCGACGTACTTCTCAGTAAACCTGCAAATAAGTTTTTGATAATCATAATAATAATAATATTGCAATGAACATGTCACTAAATTTGATTTTAATAATGCCGATAGTTTTATAATTTTGCTCAAAATGTTAATTTCTTAGTCTCACTTCTTCCACTTTTTGTTCTCCGAATTTCAGCGCGTAAAACCAATATTCAACTTTAACCCAGTTTGGCTACATTTTCATGCATGTAAATGAAAAGAACATGAGAAGCAATGATGACGAACATTGTCCCCTCCGGTCAACGCACCCCCCTTCACCCTGGAGAGGCGGGACCCCTGTGACCCCCTTCACCCATGTTCCCTTTGCACACATATGCGCGCAACAGGATTTTTTGACCATGGACAGAAGGGTTCCAGACGCGGACAACGCCCATTCGGACCCCGGCACAACCATCCAAGACGCGACCGTGGACAACCAGAAAGACGAGGACATTTTTTTTCCACACTGAGTTTCGGGACGCCACTCACTCTAGGAGGGGGGAGGGGGACGTGTCGCGTAGGAACTCGTAGGTGATAGATATTTGTCGTATTTTTGGTTTATTTGTATTTCTGCTGAGCCTTTCGCTTGCCCGCGTAACTCGCGCTAGTCGCAGCTTTTCCGTCTTGAGCTTCTGCTAGGTTTTGCCGTCGCTCAAACGACTCTTCTCCACACTTGCCGAGTAGGTTCTGTATCTCATTGATCCAGAGCGTTCATCGAACGCCAGTCTTGAGCCATTCATTGCACCGTGGGCTTGTTTTTGTTTATCTTGTTGTGTTGTTATTGTTGTCGTTTGCCTTACCGATAAAGGCTAACTCTCTCTTGTGGGTACCCAGATTTTGTCTCACACTTTTCTGCCACTCACTAGATATAAGAGTAATTTTTGCATATATGCACAAAAGAAGCCAATGAGTTTTCCATACAGAAGGTGGGAAGCATGATGTTTCACAGACTGCTTCAAGCATAGAGAAATAAGCCTGACATGAAAGCAATCAAAATCCATGCATCTGATTCTTTTTTCACCCAATAAGAAGTATAAGAAGTATCATATATCTCTTTTGGAAAAAGAAAAAAGTGGGTCTTGAATTAATTTACGAAATTCTGCATCAAAGTTTTCATGGTTGACGCGAGCGATAATCTTGACAGAACGTCAAAAAAGGCCAAAAGATGACATATTGAAAGACATAATACGAAGCAAAGAAATTGGATCCAAACCATTTGAGCAATCAAGCAGCACAAAGTTTCTTATCTTTATTGATTTTTAAAATATTTTGAACAGTCAACAGAGAAAATACAACGCCATTCAAATAAAACAAGAAAGGATCAACAGAGACAACATCCACGACGTCGAAAAAACTTTCAATGAGATAATGCTCCTTCAAGAAATCCAACGGACACATTCGTATACTCAGTTCCCGGCATAAAAAAAAGAAACGAGAATGTAGGATTAAACTTACAAACTAAAGTGAACACTGAAACTAGAGGACAACAAGCATATTGCTACAACGAGTGCAAAAAGACAAACGTAAACCAATGAAAGCTGTTGTACATTACTACTAAAACAGTAATCAAAGCAAACTCATGATCATCACAACAATTAGGTATTTCGCGCTAAGTCGACATTGATCACAATATGAAATTATGAAGTTATCATAAGATACCGTTGCTGCAGACCTTCCAAAATCACTTGCAGGTGAGAATTCAAGTTTGTGCTAACAAGGGAATGGTCAGAAGTCGAAGTGGCCAATCCATACAAGCTGCATACCATTCGATGCAGCATAAAATGCTGATTTCAAATCTGTCTTCCATATCTGCAGAGCGCCTTTGTAGGCGAAGTTATGAGCAGCTTCACGGCGAAAAAATCGTGTACAAAAATTGCAAAATTAGGCACGTCATTGCTCTTTCAGCAAGCCTCTAGGTATGCGTCATACGAAGTAACTTAGTTGCATGTTCTGGTCTAACACTGAGCCGAGAATGGCTTTGTACGGCCAAGTTTGCACTTTACACGCACAATTTCTTAGCAAATAATGGCCTCCAACGGTTTATAATTTCGTCCACAAAAGCGCTCTGCAGATAAGGAAGACAGATTTAGAGTCAGCGTTTTATGCTGCATCTACTGGTATGCAGCTTGTACGGACTGGCCACTTCGACTTCTGACCATTCCCTTGTAAGAGTAATAATTACTACTTTGCAACGAGGAAACGTAAAGTACAGTGATAAATTATCTGGAAATGCATTGAGTACGAAGTAGTAAATAAAGGGAAAGAGAATCAAGCACGAAGGTACTGAGAGCTGTGAAGAGAAAAGTAGAAGGATAAGATGAGAACATGAAACGTTGCATTAGCCACCTCGGAACAACACCCGGTAACACCTACGCGTGAAAATTCGAAATACTATGGCCGAATTCACCTTCACACGCACCGAAACATCCAAGCATGACTCAGTGAAATCAGAAAGGGTAAGGAAGGAAACTTGAGTATACAGCACACTACCGAGATTACATAACATGCTAAAAACTATATGAGGTTCTTAGAACGGAACACAAAAATTGAGATGAACTCCCAGCATCCCACTTCAAAAGCATGAAAATGTACTCGAGATTGATGTGATATGACTTTCGCTTGGCAAAACACACGTTGGAATAAGTATAGCTATTCTTTGATATCCACGCAAATGGCTTCCAAAAAACCTGGACTAAAAAATTAGGAACAATGTGTTACAAGAAATCTTTTGCTAAAGTATATGACGCGCCGGATTGCAGAATATACAGGTTTTTCTGCGCTCTCTAAAGCAGGATACCAATATCATCTCAAACATGTTACTCCCTTAACCCGGGAAACAAACCCAATCACTATCTGTCTCAAATCTACAAGATATATACACTTGAAAAATCAATCACATGACACCGCTAAATCGGAATAAAGGTCCGCGATGATGCACCATTATCAAACGATGACTACTGAAAGATTTTCTTTTGTTTTGGTAATGTGAACAGGGATATAGCAGCAATAGACACACTTTTGACTTTCGCTCAATTAAAAGATCTAGTGACGAGAAGGAACTACAGATGGCATAGTAGACAGCTCCCTGAAAGCCGTCTCAAGACATCTGAATCAAGATTATTGCAAGCGGTAAATGATTTGCTGGAAATAATTAAACCTGACCTTCTTAGATCGCCATATGATACAATAAGTAGATTGTTGCCATCTCGCGACACAAGCTGCACTTTTTCGGATACGCCAGCATCGAGCTGAATTAAAAAAAACAAGATTCAACAAAAATAGACTTCGAAAAATGAAAACTAGATTGAAATGATAGTCTAACCTTGTTAAGACACTGTACAATATGCGCCATATCCATCCACGGCTTGCCGCTTTCCGTAACCTGAAAATGAAAGTGAGGTCATGTTCAGAAAAAGAAAATACTAAGCAACCTGATGGAAGACATAGTCACGAAATAGCTTGATCATGAAACGATCGCCGGTCTCGGACCATGATGGATCCAGATTGAACCTGCAGTGTTCTTTTACTTAGATCTTCCTCAATTTATCACATTTTAGAACTTGCGGACCTTTTTTTCTTACAATTAGATACTTACAAAGGCGAGAATAGTCTTTATAAGTACCTAAGAAAAAAGGTTTGATGAAAACTGCTGAGGTTTAATAATGAAGGTCGGAAGCGTCCGAGAAAATAACTTGATTCTAGAAACAACGCCCGCAAAGAGAAAACATGCCAAGTCCGATTTATGACTTACTCAGGTCGCTCTACTATGGTGTTGATCTTGGCAAGTATGCGGAATAATCGGCCATTTTCTAGCTCCTGTGAATTCTTTCATATGACAAAAAAAAAAGAAGTCATGGGGTACAGAACACAGAATTATATGCAACATACCTTGCTAAGTTCATTCTCCAGCATGTCATTTCGCATTTGTGCTGTTTCCAATTGCGAATAGAACCGCGCACCAATCATTGGCATAATCTCATTTATTGACTTGCGGCCCGAAGGAGATGAGGACAACAAGAAACTAAAAAATTGCATCAATGCAATTGCTTGAAATAATTCAGAAAATCATTCTTGACAGAAAAAAGAAGACATTTATGTGAAAGTTAGTGAACTATGAAACCGAAACGTAACAGCGTGCACTTCAGATGCAGCCGTGAAAGATCCAAATGAAATATATATTTACGTCTGTGACTGTCGTACCTTATCAAGTTCTTCATATCACTGCTATAATGGTTAGTGACATAAGTCATACTCTGCTGAACAAGATCACGCCGAGCCGAGAATGCATTGCCAGTAGCCAGAGCCAAGAGTACACGTCCAAGAGCGTGCAAATCTTCCATCTATAATCTCATGAGTACATCTAGAACGATCGATAACGTACAAAAGACGTACTTGTAGTTGTTGTACTTGGGTGTCAGGTGCGAGAAGATCAGCCACCCCACCACAACTCAACAAAATCTAGAAGATGGAGATCGAACTTTGCCGAAAACCCCTCATAAGCATAATTCAAACCTTGCTCTTGCCATGCACCAAGATCTTGGACAGATCTATACACCGCGAAGCGAGTCCATTTGCATGCACAGCTCGCAGAGCCGATGAGAGCTGAATGACATAGGACCATAACAGCCATTCCACAACTCCAGCGCCTTGTTGCATTTGAGCAGGTGAATGACTGGGCAACTGACTTGAGATCTTGGCTCCAGCTAGAAAAGCACTACCAATGACACTAGCTCAATCAAAAGTAACACACTTATTCCATCAATGAACCCGCTTCCAAGCATTCTTCCAAAGTGACGAGCTTTCAAAGAGTCAGCCAATGGATAGTAATCGTAAACGAGCACAACAGCTGTAACATTCTTGATTGTCGCATTCTTTCACATAACCCAAAAGGTTTCAGGCAGAACAAAAATTTTGTTATATCTAAGTCACGGAAAATGAAAGATGCGAAATTTTCTAAAGCTCGTGCACAAGCATAGCAAATCCGTGCAACTTGTTCACTAAGCTCGTGCATATTTGTTAATCTCAACATAGCATAAAAGATGTCATGGATGGAACAACAAAGCGAAAATGATCATGATTTCAACTGAAACTTACAACTGTCTCCAAACGATTTGCAGTTAATTATCACTTCACGTAACTGAACAACGTTGACATTGTTCAATTTCTTCCAAGTCTCCAACGGCTGTAACTGTTTCGGCGATGATATTCGGAACCCTAAAAAGGTGCATATTCATGAGATGCATGGTAAACGACGAGCAAAGCGGACCATGAAGCCTTCTTATGCAGTAGGTGACACCATCTCTGACCGAAATGGCTTTGTATACGGATTGAGTGGCATGATGCTGATTAATAGGTTCTAACGGGACCAAATGATTCAAATGTTCAACCTATAACACAGTTATCGTATGATAATTACGTATGTTAGAGAATCGTCTACCTGCTGGGGTATGTCCGGATAAATAGCGGGATCGGCTCTCGCTTCCATAGCAAGTTGTCGATGAACAAGTTCCTGATAAATAGCTTGATGCTTGCGTGCGTGTAAGTGCGTGTAGTATGCAATAAAAGCATGGAAGAAAACCAAAGCTGACCATTTTCACATCCGGTGAGATAAACTGAGTCATGTTATTTCCAGCGACTCCTTTCGGACGAAACTTGCCAATGTGCGGTAAAGGTCCTTGATAAGAGAAACTGCCATTTGTACCCTGTAACAATGAAAAATAGAGCGTAGTGCAAGTAAGACTGATTCCTATCTCCCAATGCATTTCTATTTCGCAGACTTTCAAACTCCAGGAGAAGCTTAAAATCTCAGGTTTTAATTGAGGAATGGGAAAGATGGAGATGAAAATCTGTGAAACAGGTCTAACCACTTCCACCTATCTCGCTCTCTCATCTCTGACATTTATCAAACAGATTTTTTTCTGCATTAATAACATTATATGTATATCACGTCGAAATTATAAGTACTCTGCGGTTTATATACATACACGAGCACATTCATGAATTTTGCAAATATCTGTGAAAGGAGCAAGCATAAAGAGGGAACTTACAACTATAGTATGATTCTCCGGTATCCCATCGGTTATTATGCCTGATGCACTACTGATGCGAGAACTACCAACGCTTGCATCACCACCACCCAATGGTTGCGGGGCTTGTTGCGGGTGAAAAAAATATGTCGTCCCTCCATGATTCTCCTCAAACAAACTTCGTCAATGAACATGTCTGCGGAAGAAATTATTTGAGGAAGTGTACGATGTAAAAATAAGGCATATGATGTTTGCAACTGTACACTCGAGTAAGGTTTCCGCTTAATATAATGTGCTTGCACTGAAGGTGAAATGCGTTGAAATTTGCGCGTGAACAAATACAGTCGAGTAGATTTTCTGCTTAATATAGTGTCCCTGCAGACGCGACAACGCTGGGACGTCAATAATTGCCTTGCGAGTTCCCGAGCTAGTGTTTTCCAGTGTTTTCTTTGCTTATTCTATGTTTTTAGGTGAATCGTGGCTGATAAAGAAGAAAAGGGTAAGTTAGAGAGTAGTTTCTGTTTTCTGAGAAGTTCTATCATCGCATATTCACAGATATCCACGTGGAAGCATTTCGCGTCAGCTTTTTGTCTATTTTTTTGTCATTTCCTTTTCTTCTGTCACTTCTTCTTTCGAACCTTCGTCTTATGAGGCGCTTCTTTGAACGCTAGTTGGCTTGTCTTGCAGCAACTTCGGCTTTCACCCATAAGAAATGGCATTTTAATCAAGTACTTCATGTGATAAAGACAATAGGTCAATCGTAAAAACCCACTAGCGTCCAAAGAAGTACTTCACAAGAAGAAAGAGACATGAAGTAATAAAAAAATAGACAAGAAGCTGACGCGAACTGCTTCCACGCGGATATCTGTGAATATGCGATCTTTATAAGCAACGAATCACCTAAAAACATAGAATAAGCAAAGAAAACACTGGAAAACATTAGCTCGGGAACTCGCAAGGCAATTATTGACGCCCCAGCGTTGTCGCGTCTGCAGGGACACTATATTAAGCAGGAAATCTACTCGACTGTAGCTGCGTCTGTGACGCCGGACAATTGCGCGCGCAAAAGGCAGGCGTCACTGGCGTGGCTGCTCGTTCACGCGCAAATTTTACCGTATTTCACCCCAGTGCAAGGACATTATATTAGAGGCAGTGGTTCGGCAAATCTCACCCTAGTCAAATTTTAGCTTACCTAAGTTTATCCAGTGCGCTGATCCCGAAAATCCACTTTAAAGGGCTTGAAAACGGCGAAGAGCGTTTTCCAATGCCCCTCGCTGTGCTGATGACGCTCAATCGTTGCGGGACCCAACAATTATAGCATTGCGGCGGGCAGCTTCCAATGGTGAGAGGGGAATTGCCAACCCGTCCGAACGCGTGTAAGATTGGCTTGCGCATGTAAGTATAAGAGCGATTTTCTCGGTAGGGAAAGCATGCCATGCGACCAAGATTGCAATGTTTTCATACTTGGGCGATAAGCAACCTACCACATTAAAATCCTGAGTTGTTGAGTTTTGCCGATCCACTGCCTTTAAGCGGAAAATCTACTCGACTGTACAAAAAAGAACACAGTCGCAATGTAACAACATTCATCCAAGGTTCCAATAAGTTTGGAAACCAAAAATGGTAAGGAATAGAACAAAGACTTTTCCAACAATCAGTTTAGTAGGTGTCAAAACAGCGATTCGCAAGATTAAGTACCTGATAAGGTGGCAATCCGTCCACATGGTTGGAAGTGGGGGTTGTACCTAAAACGGATCAAATTGATCTTACCTTTTTTCCTCACAAACGAAAATGTATGAGAAGTAAACGGAAATGTGATCTCACTACCCACTGGGGTGAAAAGGAGGAGGTGCACGATGAGGCGTAAACGGTGAATGTGAGCCTGATGGCTTTCCACCCGGTGGCGGTTGCTGCATATCAGTTATCCCTAACTGAGCGAACTGTGGGATGAATGTGGGAACCTTGACATAATACTTTTCGAACAAAAAACTATAACTCTCAGAAGAGCATAAAACAAATGTACGAAAGAAAAATAAAAATTTCACATATTCAAAAAAAAAGTTTGAAGAAAAAATTCAAAGAAATGAAACGTTATCGACAGAAATGCTCCTGATAACTCACATTGGCGTTCAGATGTAGTCCACCGCTTCCTCCTGCAATGAATTTGTTTTAGGAAATCAATTAATTCGCTGCCTATATAAACTCATTATACCTGATGAGAAAGATGCTTACACATTCATACTGACCGAAAATAAGCGCATTAAGGGATTCATCTCATCTCGATGAAATTATATTTGCAAGTGTGACATAGTTTCTTTTTCTCACTGAAGTAACCTTTGCAAGATCTACGGTACATCGTCCCAAAGATGTTATCTACTTCTGCGGTTACCAAAACCAACACCCTGTAATCCCGTATTTTGCGGGAAACAAAATATAGATTAACCTGGTACGGTACGGATGGTTCGCCGGCCAACGAAATTACAGATTAACGGCTTGCATGTATGACTCTAGTATTAGAGTTTACTTTATTGGGCTGAGCAAAGAAAAGGTCTTGAATTGCCAAACAGCGTAGTAAAGTCATGAGATGCACATAGTAATTTTTTCAAAGACTGTATGAAAACTCGAGAAACCAAGAACGAATAGGAAAAGAAAATTGTTCATGAAAGTAAAAATCCTATTATACATTGATAAAAATGAGTTGCATTATTTTCACTGAGTTCCTAAAAAATTGGCAAATCAAAGAGTGCTTACCGGCTCTGCTGCCTCCAAGATATTTGGCCAAACGTGACCCAGGTGGAGGTATAGCGCCAACTGATGGACCACCATCCAGTCCAAACCCATCCGCCGTTTGCATCCGCTTTCTTTTTGTCTAGAGATGGAAACTACTGACTATTTATTGGGAAGTACCAGACATCTTCACATAATCAGAACGGAGGTAGTTCACAAATTCGTCGACACTTCAGGATAAAGACAAACAAATAAACAATCAAGGATGTTGAGCGCTCAGATAAGCGTTTGGTTTTCCGAACGAAGAAAAGATCAATAACAGGAACTTCACACGAGTTGTAAGAATGAACAAAAAAGTGGATGGAATTCATAAATTTCATAAATCCGAAAAAACCAAACCAAAGCATAGCTTTACAGCAAATGAATGCGCGCATCCAAGACCACTTCCAAACTACTGTTACTTCAGAAACGGAAGTCTACATCTTTACCGAGTAAATGAGAGCGTTCCTCTTTTTCTAACCACAGAACGTCGCACGCACGCATCACGAGTGTTAAAATAGCGGTGGGGCGCGAAAGCGCTCTTTGGAATTGTTCATAAACAAAAGTACAGCCACTCGCATTTGTTGTGTGGTTTGACGAGTTTGAATATTGCCTAAACCTTGTCACGTAGTACGCTCAAAATGTAGGTCTGTTCATTCATCTCATAATTCCCTTACCGAGATAAAATCAGTTTTTTTCTTCTACGAGCGACTATCCAGTCTTTAGTTCAAATATTCCTGACCTGTTTTTCTCGCTGATCATCTGATTCTGGTCGCTCATCTGATTCTGTTGTTAAGCTTATCTGCCCTATCATGCCCATCTCGATTTGGGCGACGGTGCGGAAGCGGACGTCAGGCAGGAGGCAGCAACTCAGACAATTCTGCGCGCAAGCGGCGCGCACTCACGGCCAGCAGGGCAGGCGGCGGGCCGTGATTTGTGGGCGTGACCTTGCACCGCACAGGCGGCGCGCACTGATTTCAGCCAACAGGCGGCGCGCAATGCATGTTCGCAGGCGGCGCGCAGACACAATATGCGTGCAGGCGGCGCGCAATGAACTTTCTGTAGCTTCACGTAAACGGAGGAGGACGCTGCTTCCGCGCGCAAATGCAGAATTTTTTGCAGATAGTTGTTTCTCCTCGTTCCTCCTTGTTTTTTCATACAAAGTATTGTGTTGTTTATTAACTCACTTTTACTCTGCTGTTTCACCTCTTTTTTCTGTTTCTAAATTGTTTTGAAATCAAGTATGCGATTTTTTTTGCCTTTTTTAGCACGTCTTCTTTTATTTAATCCATATTCACTCTTGTTTCTCAGTCAGTTTTCCATGTCTTTTATCCTACCTCTGGTTCCTAATCATATTGACCCCGTGACACAGGGCCGCTCATTTTCAATCAATAAGCTTTCTTGCGTCGTTGCGCCTCCTTCGTTTCTTTCCGTTGCTATTTCTTTCTCTTCTTTTTTCACAAGATAAAAGCAAAGTTTAATTCAGGTCACAACTGCCTTAGTACAATGATGGCTATGTGCGAATGCCGAAAAAAAGTCGACCTCAAAAGAGTAAGTCTTGCTTTTTGAAGCCAAAGTAGGCATTTTGTTTAAAAACATTATTGTGTTTCAGCCACCGATCTACAATGACTCCAAATACCAAGAATCAAGACAATTTATGGTCGTGGGACCTCAGCCCTAACTTTATTTATCTTGAAGAGGTGAAAAAATGCATTTTTATCTGCATTCGTCAATATTTATTGCTTTTTCTCTTCAGTTTGTTAATAGCGTGTATTTCAGCGCCACAGCATGCGCCTAGACCGACTGATGAAATCAACTCTTGATAGAACAAAAACCATTACGAGAACTAACGAGGACGAGGCTGATCCAGATTATTCATGTCTTAGATTTGTTCATGTCTCATCATTCATCCCAATTTTCATGCTTATACCCATCATATCTCCGTCATCCAATTGTTTTATTCCTGCAATTGAATTGAGTACATGAATTCCAGGAGCATTCAATTCTGGCTGATCAAGCATGCCCGCGTTTTGTTCATTGCTATCGCATTTTCATATTTTATTCCTCTAAATCATTCTATAATAAAGAATGGCAAGGTTTTGCACTTACATGTTGACAAGTTGCCGACTGAGGCGAGTGACTGCCGAGGGTGCGGAGGGTACAGATTGTCAACAAGGCTAGCGTGTTTTTGTAGGGGTAAGCATCGTCCCTCCTCGAGGAATGTTTTCGAAAGGGGTGCGGCTATTAAGTGCAAAAAGGCTATAGTTGCGGAGGTGCCCACACTCTCGTAAGGTTGCTAACAGTCCCCCCCCCCTCTTTCACAAGTTTGTACTTGGAGGTATGACTTGGGAACTCGTGTCTTGCGTAAACATGCTGTAGTAGTTTCTCAAAGTTTACCCTTCGACTGTTCACATTCTCATCTTCATGCTGAAGTTCCTGGCTGCCCATAATTGAATTCATGGCTGCCCATAACTGGTGAGGACTGATGAGAACAGTTAAAAGGTGAGCGGCCCGTAGGGCGATTCTTATAGGTCTCTAGAGCTCATATTGCAATCATCTGCACAGCTCCGGTCTGTTCGTTGTCCATTGGGCAGATCTTTCAATGCGTATCCTTGATTTGTAGGGGCTCGTAAGGCACTTCTACTGAAAATATTAGTCTGTAAGCTCCCCATAGGGAGTTTTTCGACAGTTATCGGGTTCGAGGGGATTTGGAGGGTGCTTTTGTCAAAGTATAGGTCCGCAAGTGGGACACGTCATTTTTTTTATAGTTCTGTAGGTGACTAAATAGGTATCATAGCCCCAGTTCTATAGGTGGACCCGTCATGCGCTTCTTTCTTGAATACGATTGTAGGGTGGGGGCTCGTAGGACAGCCATTCAGTGTTCCATTAGCTTCTTATAGGGCACTTTTTAGGTCAGTGGTTATTTCTCAAAATGCTGTTCTATAAGCGGCCAGGGCACCTCCTAGAATTGTCGGTCAGTTGGTTTGTATGAAGCTTAGTTATCGTAAGTGGTTCAAAATTATTTTTTCACAGGACTGGTTACTGATTTATGAGGGACTCTCGCAGAGCGGTTCTATCTCAAATATCGGCCTTTGAGCGGCTCTTAGAGCAGTTTTCTTTTTCGAGATATCGGTTTGAGGGTTTGCAGCTCAGTTCTTTTTGATGTATTGGTCTGCAAGCGGCTCATAGGGTAGTTCTTCCCCAAAATATTGGTTTGCAGGAGGCGAATGGGGCAATTCTTCACAAAATATCGGTCTACAACCCCCTCCTCCTATATGGCGGCTCCATCCAGTAATTATCGATTTGCAGGCAGCCCATGGGGCAGTTTATTCCTTGAAATATCGGTCTAATTCCATACGACAGTCTTTTTCAGAGTAATGGTTTGTAGGTGGCCCGTAGAGCAAGTTTATCACAAATTATTGGTTTCTTTGGATTCCAAGGACAGTTCTTCCTCAAAAAATACCGTTGTGTAGGTTTCTAAGTATGGTAGCTTCATTTTTTCTCAAAATTCGCTTTTCGGATGTCCACAGAATAGATCATATGTGAGCGCCTCGTAGGGTAGTACAGTTTGTAGGTGTTGGTAATTGAGAATGTTTTAGGATATCGGGCTGATCCCCATAAGGAAGTGCTTTTTCATAATTATTGGTCTGCGGGGGAAGGAGGGCGGGTGAGGGGGGGGGGGGGTGGAAGTTGTAGGATAGCCTTTCTCAGAAAGTCGGTCTGTAGGGCGGCATTAGCGCGGTTCTGTCTCAAGTATGGGTTTGTTGGGGGTCAAGAGAGGGGCCTTTAGGGCATACTTCCTAAACCGGTCTACAAGCTTCCCATAGGGCTTCCTATAGCTTCCCATAATTCTTTTTTATAAACTTCGGTCTGTAGAATACTTGTGAGTAACTCCTTAACACATCGTTCTGTTAGTGGCCCATAGGGCATTTTGTTCCTATGATTACCGGTCTGCACGTAGGGCTGTTATTCCTTAATATATGGGTTGTGAGGAAGTAAAGATATGTTTTAAGCAGCTCATAGCTTTTCCTGCATTTAGAATATTAGCTTGTGGTACACATAGGGCGGTTGCTTCTTGAAATAGTAGTCTCCAAGCGGCTCAGGGCATTTTTTGAAGATTGGTTTGAGAATTTGGAGGGCAATTGCTCTTAAAATATCCGTCTGTGTGCGGCCCTTAGGGCAAGCTTTTCTCGAAGTGAAGAACCGCAAGGGCTCATAGGGTCCTTTTTCACGGGCAGTTCTCTTTGAAAACTTTGAAAAATATCGGTTCGTAAGCAGCCCACAGGACAGTTACTCCTCAAAATAAGGGTCTGTAAGTCGGCAGAGCATTTCCCTCTGATGACTAATTACCGTCCGCGGCCTGCCTCTAGGGCAGTTTTTTTTCGTCTGTAGGCAGTCCATACGGCCTTCTTGCAATACTGGTTTGTAGAGGGGGGGGGGTGATACCGCAGGTTCATTCCAGAGCATAATATCATTTGTAGGGGTTCAAGGACAGTACCTTATTAGGTTACCACTTTGTAAGGCCCGTATGTAAGTTTCTCCTTATGAAACATCATTCTGGAGGATCGCAGAGCAGCTCTTACGTACATCGCTCTGTAGGCGTACGCGGAGCAGTGTTTATTCACAAAAGGTTGTCTGTAGATAAGTAGGACATGAGAACACAATGCTTGTCTTCGCTGCCGAAATTTTTCGAAGACTAATGTGTTTTTTCAGTGTTTATCTGAGTTATTGTAGACTACATCATCGTTCTGAGAGTCGCTGCTTGGTGACTCTCAGTAAAGATTGGTAGAAAAATTTGGACCAAAGAGGATTTTTAGAACCGGCTCAAAAGATATCGATTAGTCAGCAATGAGGGTTGTCAAAAGAGCAAAAGTCACTGATTAATCAGTTTTATGTTGTCCAGAACTAATAGAAAAGATGTAAAACGTAATGTGATTGTGGTGACAACTATAGGGCTAAAAAGTGTTGCCCCAACCCACGTGCAAGCGGCCCTTAGGGTCGCTAGTCTGTACATATATTATGCATTCATATCTATGTATACTGTTCAGTTTATTTATCAAAGTACTTAGTGATTTTACTGGCAGTTATTTCAAGTTATCTCGTCATACTGTTGCATTAGTTACTATCAACTTCATTGTATTCATTACTTCATACACACGTCTTGTTGATATCACATTTGAATGTAAATATCTTGTTGTTGTACTTTAAGTTTGTGAATTTTGTAAGTACTACCTAAGCTAATAGTATTGAATGCCAGCTGTCAAAGACAGCCTTATCCTGTAAATACTGTATTTTGTTGCAATTTGTGTTAAAACCTGTCAAATTTGAAAATTGTAGATATTATTCGTTAATAAAACAGTTGTGAAACCATATTGTCCAACAAGCATAAGATATCAGACCGACAACAAAAATCCGAGCAGATTCCTGCCAAAATTTTCCTCGTAGCGCGCAGGCGGCGGGCCTTCAATCCATAGGCGGCGCGCACTGCACACACAGGCGGCGGGAAGGTACATCGCTCGCTGATTCAGTGCGCGCCGCCTGCGCGCAGATTTGTCTGAGAAGGGCTAGCCGCCTTTGCTTCTGGAAGTGCCTGGGAGCTGCAGGCATCCTGGCGCCTGTAATCACTCTTCGCACCTTTGGTTACTTTACAAGCAAGAGGATCCAGCGAAAATCTTTTTGAAGAGTAATTCACTCTGGATGAATTTAGAAATCTTGCAATTTTATCCAGTCTCACAAGGGAAGGATACTTGGTGACCGTGGCCTTTTGCAATGAGATATATACCACTAGATGCCCTTGAAACGCTGATTCCAAAACTATGTTCATTATCTGCTGTGCGACTCTCTGAGCGATATTATGGACTTTTTTCTATATTGATTTTACGAGATTTAGGCAGCCAGAATCGTTAGTATCCAAGCTTTTTTAGACTCTGATCCACCGAAGACAGTTTTCCTGAGCTTAACGTGAAGCTTTACTTTATTTTGACGCTCTTTTATAGTGCATAAACGAACATTTTAACGATATTGGTGAATCCTGCATCAAAATCGGTACAAATTTTTGTGGCAAGAAATGTTCATAACTTCTTTCGGAAAAGCGCACAGTAGATACCGAAAACAGATTTGGCATCAGCGCTTCAAGATGCATTTAATGGTATGCGTTTCATTTTGAAAGGCCACGGTCACCAAGTATCCTTCCCTTGTCAGCCATAATAAGTTTCAGCTTAGAGAAATATCGGGTTCTGGGCTTTCTTTAAAATCCGTGCAGCAGAAAGGAGTAAGTCTGCCATAAAATAAAAGACATATGCTAACAGTCTTCAAAATCCTTGTTTTCAATTGGAGTGACTAGAGAAAGAATTACAAGAATTAGTTCAGGATTCCGACTTGAAGATTTGATAGTTCAAGTTATGCGTCCAAACCAACTCAAAAATCTGATGTTTTTATAGCGCCTTTGAAGCTGTATTAGGCTAATCTCTACGAGTCTTTTTTAGAACTCATTATTTTATTTGCTATGAATTCAGAACATAAAACCTATACTGGTAGGGATCGGTCAGAGTTTGCCAGTGTTGCCAGCGTTGCCGGTGTTGAAAGTGTTGAAAGTGTTGCTGCTGTTGAAAGTGTTGCTAGTGTTGAAAGTGTTGAAAGCGTTGCCAGTGTTGAAAGTGTTGAAAGTGTTGCCGGTGTTGAAAGTGTTGAATGTTGAAATCATCAGTCTTGCAGTTTCATTCTTCCTCGAACGATATCACCGGCTGGTGAGTACGTTTAAATTGGAAATGGGAAATGAGAGATGGAACTGAAACGAGATGGGAAATGCTTCAGCATGCAAGAGATTCTCACATAAACTTATTGGAAAGTAAAGAACGTGTTTGAGTTAGGCAATTTCCAATATTAATAACGGTGCAAGACCTCCCATGAGTAGGTCTTATACTCACTAATAGCAGAAGCGCCGGATTCGACACCCAACACGCATAATTCGTAAGATTTTAGCAGCGTTCTCAAGATTTGGAGACTGCCTATATAAAACAACTCCTCTTTCCAAGAAATGTG